AAAAATTGAGAACATGAACAACTTTCTGGAAGTAATCTTAGGTATATATATCATAGAGCGACCAAGTCATTTCATTGGACGAGAGGCATACTATGAGAGCTGGTCAAAGGGATGCGTTCAAATGTAGTCAGTAATTTGAGGAAATGGCGAACGCAGATAAAGTTGAGCTCGAAAATCCTCCAGCATCATTGAAGTCTCCAGTTTGGGAACATTTTGGTTTCGCAGTTACGTACAAGGATGACGGACAAAGACAGGTGGACTGAACCAAAGCTGTTTGTCGGGATTGTTCAACTAACATTGGTTACGCGGCTGGCAATACATCAAACTTGCACACTCATTTGAAAAGGCATCACCCAAACGTGAATATCACCGGTACCAAAAGAAAAAAGACTGAAGTGCAAACCCAACTCCCACTAGCATTTAAGCCTCCACCACTCGCAACAAGTTCAGACCGAGCCAAAGCTATTACAAACGCCAAATATCCTTATGTTGCCATGTTAGCAAAGCGCTACCTGGCTGTATCTGCTACCTCTGTCCCTAGCGAGAGGGTGTTCTCCACAGCAGGAGACATTGTTAGTGCCAGCAGATCTGCCCTTTCGGCAAGCAATGTGGACAAGTTAATTTTTCTTTAAAAAAAACATGAAAATACAATGACAAGCAAGTCCTAATGTCAAGCTGGCTGCTTAGGTACTAGTACAGTACAGTTCAAATACAGATTATTTCAGTTCATCGAAATGCTGCACCTTAATGTTTATTTTATTATATTTTGTATTTATTTGAGTGAATATTCACAGTTTAATAATAATTTAAAAAATAAATATTTGTTTTAATGTTTTGTGATAATTTTTTCTGCTGTACCGAAAACGTACCGAACCGAACCGTGACCTAAAAACCGAGATACGAACCGAACCGAAATGTTTGTGAACCGTTACACCCCTACAATCAATGTTAACTTGGAAAGCCACAATATTAATATTTTAACTCAATGACATTAGGTGATATTATTGTGGCACATCAGTAAAGCCTTACATATAAATATATAAGGTGGCAGACGTAATTTAATGAATTTTAACTGAACAATAACTGAATGAGTTTGTTTCAATCTTAGACCAGCAGTGGTACCAAATCTATGAAGACTGCTGCAATAAGTACATTCATTAACTGTCTCATCGATGTTTGTCTGAATGAATATGATACTATTAACAATCATATTATTCCTATCAGCTGTCAATCCCTTTTATGATTCACATATTCATTTATTATTGAATAAACTATATTTTTTGGAGGAGTTAATGATGAATGTTCATCAAGATGCTTGCTCACCCTCCTTCAAATTTGAAAAACAAGTAATTATATCATTATTGATATACAGTTACAACCTTGACTTTACATCAGAAAGAACAAATATTAAAAAAGTGACTAACTGCATCAGTTAGGGTTAAAAAAAAAAAACGTGTATTCAGCTAAAACATATACATCGCTGCAGTAAGTTATTATCCAGTGGAAAGTCCTTGTCTACTGGCCTGGTTAAATCAAAGTGGTTACTTTCTGTTGGCTGGGCAGTGTAGTTTTACACACCGTCTGATTTTACTTTCTCAGGACTTAAAACAGTTTTTTGGGGGCAGACCCCCTCAAAGAAAAAAAAATATACACACGCATACAAGGTCATCATCTTAATAGTTTGTTATGCTCATCGAGTCATCCGTGAGCAGAGCATCAAGTTGGCATGTCTATTACAGCTGAATGCGGCGATTAATATTTTGTTCAGCAAAACGCCTCACAAACGTATTAAGATCCAAAGCTTTAGTGCGTTTTGATTCAATGCTGAGTACAGCCAAACTTGACATTCTCTTCTCTGTCATTGTAGATCGCAAATACCTCATTATTCCTTCCGTCTACTTGGGTCCGAAATGCTTCTCGATCATATTTCCAGTCTCGCGCCAGGGCCGGGGGAGGGGTTACAAGACTCGCGTCTTGTGCTGCATTCACTTGCACTCGGACATTAGAGATTTTCTCTCATAAATGTCCGATGAGCCACAACTTTTCTTTCAAAACAAAGATGCCAACTGGGGTGGCAGCTGGGGTGGCAAGGCTATTGTTTAGGGTGGCAGTTGCCACCCCATGCCACCCCGGTAGATCCGCCCCTGTGTGGGACTAATAACGGTATTCTGATTCTGATAACGGGACGAATTTGTACAAAGGGGCACACAGCAATGTAGTGCCGACTTTCTTACACGCTGGAAGGCCAATCACTTTTCTTTACTCCGAAATCCGCTCATTCTTGCTCTCGGTGTGACATAATCTGTCAAACTGTCAAAACTCTGTACTCAAACCGGAAGTACTCAGCCGCACACCCAGCCGCCGGAAGTTGATAGACGCCATCTTGTGCACAGAGTAGGGCTGTGCGATTATGGCAAAAATCATAATCACGATTATTTGGTCAATAATTGATATCACGATTATTTTGACGATTATTCATTGACCATTTATTGAACTTTAAAACAAATAATATTTTACCAATAAACAAGATCAATAAATGTGTTGGAGCGCACTTCCAAAACCATACTAAACATATATTAATATGATAAATAAAAATAAATTAGACCAAAAATAAATGAAATCAAATATGTTGCAGTGCACTGTCACAACCTACTGAAAACTCCTTAACACATAGCCAACATTTTGGTAAAACATATTCAACATATTCCACTCAGTTAAACGTTGAAGGCTGGCCCACCGTCATGGTCCAGAAGTAACAGGAAATAAATGTTGAACTACAATTTAAGACCAAATAAAAATGTTTAGGCCACCATGGCAAATGCTGGTAGGGCTGCTCATGTCATCTCTTAAAGATTTTTTGCAAGAAATACCAGCCTGTTTACATGGTCTGGTTTCAGAGATGAGCGCAGGCAGGTGACGTTATTTCCACCTGTACTGAAGACCCTCTCTGAAGAGGAACTTGTGGCAGTGCTGCCACATATGACGCAGGAAAAAAAGAAAATACTCTGAACCCTTTCTTTGCCATTATATAAAAATAGTGTTGCTACAAAAGTATAAATTAGGCTTACTAATAAAACAACTCAGATCTGAAGCTACACAGTAATCTGCTGCAGCAACAGTGCAATAAAAAAGACAACATTAATAGAATCAAACCCATTTTTTGTTGCATTTTATTAGAGTATAAAAAGAAATGCCTTTTAAAATAGGATGCAAGCAACACTAGTTTCTGAACTGATAGACTATAATCAATTTAAACAGAACAGATCTTAATGTTTGCATTCTTATACCATTTTGTACAATAATTATCATGAATAAATTCAAACAAACTAAAACGTACAGCTGATTAATAACGGTATCTAACTTGAGATTTTATCAAAAACCTGTTGAAATGCTACTGTTTTTTACTGTCCCCCAAAAGCGCGTCGCAGCCTCCAGGAATGCTTCTTTCACAACTTCGCCGTCTTTGAAAGACTTCATGTGTTTCGCAAGAACGTGACTGACACGATAAGATGCTATGGTAGCAGCCTTGCTCTTGTTGTTGGGCCGGGTGAAAATGGACTGCTGTGCATTTAGCTGTGCTCTCAGGCCCCTCCCCTTTTGGAGCGTTGGGCAGAACTGGGAGTCTTTGTGGTCTTGTGTGTGTGCGGACTGTCACTCCTGTTGACCATCCATGCTGTTGACACGGACAACGTCAGCGAACTAGTGCACTGCTCACCAGCCACGCCCAGACACATGGGGTGAGGCCGGCCAATCACAAAGCTTTGATGCGTTCAAGTGCATTATTCTGGCACGGGAACATTATGTTACAGGACATTAACGATAAAACAGAATATTGTTGTTCTATTTTTAGACACATCTCGCGATCGACTGGGAATCTCCCCGCGACCCTTCTTTTTAACTAGTTGCTGCTCTTGTTCTGACATCTTCGCTTGCGCTGAACACTCACAACACATGTCACTCCCACGTGGCCGAGTGGGCTTTTAGGGAGGGGCGAAAGCGCACCCAGCAAAATAATCGTATTTTGTCAATTATGCTGTTTTCCTAATCGTCGCAAACCATAATCGTAATCGCGATTAAAATACGATTAATTGCACAGCCCTAGCACAGAGCCAATAAAAGTCACGGCTCACCACTGCGCTGTAGTACATATGGCAGGCCTGTAAGTAGCGCTGTAGTCTGCCACAAAAGCAGAATCAGCCCTTGCAAAAACAGGGCTGGAAAAGAGCAAATAGAGCGAAATGAGGCATGGCTAAAATGCATGATCTGTTTGGTATTTTGAAAAAATATATAAATGTTTTATATAGGTATGGCCCTACAATATATGTTTCAAATATAGCATGATAGGTCCACTTTAAGTAAGCTTTCTTAACGCTAATGTTATAATAGTCAGATTGCTCTGAAGATGGGAGGTGATATTCTATTAGTTTTCACGTTCACACATTCGGTGATTTTTGCCAGCCGTCTTTCCTGCAACGGCAGTTTAAACTGTATTTTCTTTCTCCTGTAATATGACTTGATCGCTTTAAACTCCACACACAGAGCTCTGATTGGTCAGCAGGCGGTGCTTTCACTGAGTTGATCTCTTAGCCTGCAACCTAACCTGCTCCGGAGCAGGTTAGCCGCTCAGCACAAGTTACCATGGAGATCTAGCCCGCTAAAAAGAGAACCAGCGTCGTAGGACCGGAAACCCCAAGTTTTCCCTGAAATTAGCCCGCTAAACTAAAATCCGGCTTCGTAGTAAAGGCCCCAGGCTAGCCGTTCAGCATAAGTTACCATGGAGATCTAGCCCGCTAAGAAGTGAACAAGCGTCGTAGGATCGGAAACCCAGAGTTTTCCCTGAAGTTAGCTCGCCAAGCGAAAATCCGGCTTCGTCGTACAGGCCTCTGATGTGTCCATTTCTTCTGGACCATAACAAGTGGAGTGTTTCCTAACATTGTTTGTATGAAAGTTATATTACAATTCAACAAATAAACAATTCTTTAAATTGTAAATTGCTTTAATATTGACATTTTGTTTCTATATTTGTATTAACACTGACTTAACACAGGTGGAGAAAATAAAAAAGAGCACAACATTAAGAAGTGGTTACAGGTTGATCCTGTAAATATATTGAGTTACTGGATTTCACCTTTGAAATGACATTTTTTTCCGTATCTTTGTGACGTGATGATGAAAGGGCCTGTATAAGGCTTCAAACTTCAAACAACAAATAGCGCCTTTTTTCAGTCTTGGAATGGAAACCTCCCCAGAGGAAATATATTAGCTATCAGGTTTTTAGACCCCACTGGAGAGCTCCTTTGATACACACACATTTTTACTGAGACTAAAACACAGCGAGGTAAACTCTCTTTCTCCACACATCTTGTCCAGTCATTCTGCCATACAGGAAGTGAAAAGAGACAGGTGTTTTCCTTTGAGGTGTGGTGACACTGTGACCTTTGCACTACACTTTTCCTGATGTTTCCTTCTCAGTCGTCATGCAGCCCAAGGGCCAGCACCATAGGAAGCCCGACCCCCAGGATCAAAGTGAGGCTCTCCAGGAGCCCCAGATATCGCTCATGGTGGGCCTCGGCTCCAGAGTACTGATGGGGGTCAGAGGAGGGTCTGCCCGTCCTCCTACTGCTGATCTCGGGGAGAACATGCACTGTGGCCACGTAGAGGAATGTCCCAGCCGAGAAGAGCATTCCCACTCCTGTCGCACTGAGCTGATTCTGAGAGGAGCTGCCAGACTGCGGACACAAAACACATCACATCAAATCAAATAATACTGAAGTCAAAACTGTACGACACGACACAAAATGGCTGTGGGGCTTTCTTACTGCATGTAATATGAAGTAAGTGGTGTGATGGCAAGTACGGGCGCTGCAGCTGAGAAGGCAGCAATGTCCTGAATGTGCTTCTTTTCAAGGCCTGCATGCATCAGGAAGGAGACCAACCCGAAAGCAGCAGGTGCCTAGGATATTAGATCAGGAGTTCATATTATTTCTATTGAGTATTGATTTTAGATACCATGTTTTTCACTGACAGGTTCTCTCAGGAAACTCACCTTGTGTAGGATCACAGCTAGGAATACTATAACTTGCACTGTGACTTGCCCCGAGGCTACAGCTGCACCCACCGCAAATCCATCAGCTTCAAGCAAACAAACACATGTAAAAGGATACCTATTATGCAAAATCCACTTGTTCATGTCTTTTATACATAAAACATGTGTCCCCTCTGTGTAAAGAGATTCTGAAAGTTTCAGGGACAAAGACCCCCTCTCTTTTTGTCCTGATCCATTTATTTAAAAACCTGTCTGAAAATGAGCTGATCAAATTTTGGCCACTTTGTGATGTCACAATGTTTTTTTGGGTTTGTGTAACCATTAGCCAATAACCAACCAAGGGTAACACCCGCCCACCTTGTTACCTGTATCTCCTCCTAAAGCACCATTGTGGTTTTTTTAAAACAAATATCTCGCAGAGGGGCGTGGCTCCTTATTTTTCATCTCAAGATTCAAGGCTTTTATTGTCATTTGTACATAGCTACAGTGTAGTTATGACAATTGAAAATCTTAGGTCAAAGGCTCCTCCAACAGTTGCACACAGTCAAACAGATTAATAGTGCAAGTAAATATAATGTAAAAATAAAATATAATATAAATAGTGCAGAATAGTCTATACACAAGTAATGTAATATTGATATATGCTGCAAACAGATGAATGTATGGATGTTCTTTCAAAAGTGAAGGTGTTTAACAGTCACAGACACAAAATCAGCCACTTTTGAAACAGGGCTGAAACAGAGGGGCTTTATGGGATGATGATATGCACAATCTGTTTGGTATTTCGAGCCAAACACTTCAGAGACATGTTTTGTATATATATCTGAGACCTATCATATTGATGAAAAACAGTATAATAGGGGACCTTTAATGTTCACAAAACATAGACAGGCATTACATCAAACTGATGAATAAGTCTGGTTGGATATTCTGTTTTCTGAATGCCAAATTTCACACGTGGGACAATTAGGTTAAGCTTCAGGCCTGCAAAAGAAAGAGGTCAATAAAAGGTAAAAGAGTCTTAATGAACATTTCCACTGATTTGCAGCAGGATGTTTCCTTGAAAGATGTTGTGTACGTTGGGTAAACATAATGGCAACAGAGATAGTGAGATTGTGCTGTGTACCTGCACCCATGAATCACTAGCCCCAAAGTGGCTGTGATTGCCGACACTGTTAGCAAAAGAGACGCTCTCCCTGAAATAAGAAATTGCACATGTCAATAGACAGTAACAAGGAAAATAATTCAACATATATGGAACACAATTTACGAGGCTTCTGTAGACGAGATGAGCCACAGGACCGACCAAAATACGGAGATATTATGGGGAACACTTAAACAATCCAAGATTGTTTTTGTGTGGTGTGTGTGTCTGTGCTGTGTGTGTGTATGTGTGGTTGTCGGTTTGGGAAGGGACGGCATGTGTGGAGGGGGGTGGGTGTGGACTGGGTTTGGTCAGTGTTTGTTTATTTTGAAAACATTAGTTGGCGGATTGAAGTATTAATGGTACTATCTCATTTAAGTTTTGTAGCCAATTTTTCTTTTTTTCATGAAATCTTGAATGTAATGTAATTGTACCCCCACTCATCCTGTAAAACAAAAAGGAAAAAAAGAAAGAAGTTGCACATGAAGTGATCATTTAAAAGATTGTGAATAATTCACATTCTAACCTGATTATTTATTGTTGTTTTTAACCCCTAGTGGTTTTACCTTACTTAATAATGTGTGCATACCTTTTTATTTAAGTCCGCACTATACTTCCGCTGTTATACATTTCCCAGTTGTTGGACAAATAAAGGAATTCTGATTCTGAATAAGAATAAAAATGCCAACTTGCCAGGCATGGAGAAGTAACTTCCGATCTGGTCCACCACAAACATGAAGGTGAACCCGAAAGTTAGAGCCATCCCAATGAGAAACCGAGGGGTGGACCATCAGTGGTAGTTACATTTTCATTTTTCTCACTGGCATTCAGACCCGGATGGCACATCAGAGGAGGAAGAGGATGCTGCGAGAGAGATGGATGAAGCACAGGGAATAGCTTTTGATCAAATCACATAGAGGAACAAACAAGCAGCAGAGCAGCATACACTAAGAGCGCTGAGCCTCGCTTTCATCACCATGTGCCTCATCACTCATCTTCAAGGGGTTACAATCAAGCACAGGTGTGCATTTGGAGGTTGAGGACAGCACCGATTATGGGTAATCAGTGGCAAGACAACTAACAACATGGGAGTGAAAGAGTACTACAAATAAATATAGGACTCGAATTGGCATCATTTAATGCTGTTAAGTGGCTGGTGGATGTGCTTCATTCTCCAGCCAAAAACACAATGGTAATCCTATTGGTGGGTGGGGTCACAATCAAACATGTACAAGCCACATTTGACAGGTGGACATTTGTTTTATTGGATTTGGATTTGATGGCATGTTCTGCTCACCTCTCCATGACTCCTCCAGTAAACCCACTCCCTCAGGGATGGTGATGGCCAGCGCTTGTTCCACACAGCAGTCCTGCCCCCAGGATGGAGACAAACTGCAGGCGTTTCTGAGAGAGAGAGACATGTGATGTTCAGCTGAGGCAGTGTTCCCTCCCCACAGGGTTTATTTGAAGGCTGCTGAACCGGAGCGATTTCTCAAGTTTCTCATGACAATAAGCAATGCTTCTCATTCAAAACATAATAATCATCATCATCTACGGGTGTCCATCTTAGTAATAGTCATGTGTATGCTTTGATGGCACAATAAAAAGACTGCAGTTTCAATGTCAATTAAAGTTTGATTCAAGAATTATGTCATCTTGATAGGATACTTTGAGTATAGTTTTTAATCTCAAAAACAAACACTTACCTCGTTAAGCCCTGAACAACAGTGGGATGATCAAGTACAAAAGTACCTACAAACATCGCCACCCGACTTATAAAAGTGATAGTCAACCCTCCGTCCATGACGACTGACAGTTATTCTTCACAGAGGTGAGTCAGTGTGCTACATCATAGTAGTTATATCCTGCTGGAAGCTGGCATTCTGTTCTTTATTGTGTCTCTGGATTTTCATTGTCTGATTACAAAAGACATAAATGCCATTCTGCCTTTCCACGTCGCCACCACAGCAGCACTTCCCTCTCAAGCAGCACCCAGTGTGTATACTGAGAACTGCAGCCCCGCCCCCATTGCGGTCCGCCAATCATCTACCTCCATTCCTAGATTACCAATCAAAATCCATCCTTACCTACAAACATGATATTTTCTGTGCCAACATACAATATAGTTTTAGTCTGTGTTTTCCAACATCAGGGTCAGAACCATAAAACTAGGGTTATTCTTAGTGGTCTTAGGTTAAGTAGAACCTGTCTTCAAAATGATACCATTATTTGTAAAGAATTTTAAAAAAGCTATTTGTTTTTATCTTGTCAAGACACAAACAAGCCTACAATACAGGAACTAACTTTTGCTCCAAGTGTTGACAGCCAGAATAATACTCAATATTTCTAAGCACATTCAAGTATTTTCTGTGTAAATAACTCAGACATGATGCAAAATAAATATGGATGATTTGTTGAGTGGTCTATGCTGTTTCTAGTTAGTATAGTATATAAAAAGTATAATTTTTAAGACAGTTCTCTCAAAACGCAATGCAAAAAAAACGAGCTTAAATAGTGGTAGCACAAAAAAAGACCAAATGAATGTGTTCATTCTTAAATACATTTTGTGAGGTTTAACTGACTGTGACACTATGTTGGAATTGCAGTGTGATGTTATCAAATGTTGATATTGCTCGTTTCATTTCATGTTGGTTAAATGTTTGTTTGTTCTGCATACCACCTTAACATTACCTCAATCAGTAGAATGTATTCCATGGAGTAAGATTTCTGAACACAGCTATTGCTTTAAGAAGTTTTAACATTTAAAGTTGTTGACATTACTCCCCATAAGCTACTGGTCATACTAGAATAAGTAAGTCTGTAGCAGCAAAACTCTTAAGTGAATTAATCAGTCAAATTGTTATTTCTCATCTTTTAGTGATTATAATAATTGATAGTTAAAATGAAACTATTGTTGTCAAACTTGATTAAATACAGATTTATTGTTCAAAGAGCTGGGGGGGGGGGGGGGGTTGGGAGCACAGATATCACATAGTATATACTGTAGCACAGACAGCCCTTTGGAAAGAATAAAATGAGACTGTCAATTGCAGAGATCTGCTATTGTTACTCTTCCTATCTAGAAAAATGTAAAACTATAAAAGGCAAGCACACAAAGACACATTCTAATTGTGCAGTTTGATACACAGACACTTTACTACCCATTCTGAGTACATAGTACAGTAGAACAAGCTGAGAACTTCTATTAGAAAGTGCCTAGCTTTTCAGAAAAACAATCCATTTCCCACCGTCTATACAGATCTTATAAACACAATCTAAAATAAAAGGACTCATGAGGATCCTAGACTTGGAATTACACACACAAAAAAAAAAAAGTAGTGGAAATCGTTGCAGACTGACAAATGAAATGCCATGATGATGGGACTGGGCACAATCAAGTTCTGTAGTATGACACTTTAATTGCTGGTTAGCTATAGAGAACCCTCCTGTTGAAGCTGTGTAAATACAGCGATCGCACTTAACTTACCAAAAGGTTTGAAATTAACCTACATTCAACGTTTAAACACTGTAGATATTAGACATTATACGATTTTTAGGTATTTCTCTCAGAGCCGGGCAGTGGATTTAGATTTAGACAGGACACATTTAGAGATTTCATGACATCTCTGAGGTATAAAAATGAAGAGGTATAAAAATAAAATCACCTTATCATGACTAGAAGAGCACCAGACTCAAGGGTGTCAAACAACTCTCTCATTAGTTCCATAATAATTTACCCATATATGGTGCCAATATACCCATGGAAACATTATGGAAACATTTTAGGTTCACCATTGTAATCATTACACCCACAGGGGGCGGGCCCTTCTCTGTCAATCATACAAGTGAAAGTGAGATTAGTGCACATTTCCCACATTGGTTCTCTGAGCATCTGGATAATAAGTTTTATATAAATGGCCCCAAAAACAACAATTCATCCACAGTGGCACACTATAGTGGCGCTTTGTCTGCAGCCTTGCTCTACCAACAATCCTCTTTTTTAGGGAAGCTCATGGTGTCGTCTTTACTTAGGAAAAACTGAAATGACAAAAACAAGAAGCTTGATCAATCCTGAGTAAGGTCCTAACTGTGTAAGCACTTTGTTTTTAATTTCTAAATTGTTAAATTGTGTTTGTGATGTTGTCTGAGTCTACCTGATTCCTGAAAATAAGCTGTTTGATATGGCTGAGGCAGATCTGGAAGTTACTATAGCTCTGTCGGAGGCCTGCCAATGCTAGTAACTGGATCTGCAAATGGAATGTACAATAGAGGGCTCACTTTATCACAACTCATGAAGCAACATAATGCATATATCTTCCAATTTGCTTTCAATGGGGGAGGCATAGTAGTATTGAGAGTTAATCGGCCAAGCCTAAGATCTGATAAGTTGTCACCAGAAATTGCACAATTTGAGCTAAACATTATACAACTCTTGAGTAATTGCAAATGGGGAAACCATAACAATGCTGGATGACAACTGGAACAAAATGCTACCTACATGATATAAATGGAGAGGACCTGGCAGAAGACTGAGTGATGAGATATAGATTAGCTTATTCATAAATCAGTAGAACACTCAATGCTAATTTCTAAATCTCTCCATGAAGACGTAAACATGTGAACAAAGAGATACAAATGGAAGACAACAAATTAAGAGAATCAGTCCAGTATCATATGAAGTGGAACAAAAAAACCAAAGGCTTTTCGCTTCATCCTCTGAGCATCCACAGAAGGATCAGCAGGCTCCGGGCCTCCAGTCCTCCAGCTGCAGCCCGGGGGGGGGGGGGGGGGGGTGGGGGGGGGGGGGGGGGGGGGTTCCCTTCACCAGGGCCACATCAGTAGCAGCAGTCCAACAGCAGTCCCAACTCAGGCTCAGAGAATGAACGGAAGATGAATGTGGTGTGCCAAGAGATGGGTTATATTCTTCCAAAGTGTAGGGATGTATCAAGCTTGATAGCATTTCAAATTCAATGCCTACAAATAAATACCATGTCAAAAAAAGGCTATTTTACAAATCCAGAGTTTTGTAGCTGTACAGTGTCGTAGCATCCAGGAGTGTTAGTAGCAATTTCTTTCTTCTTTGTTTATTTTCTAAAGGCTTTTATGGAATTGGAAGAACTATTTTGAGAACATCACATTTGTACGGACCAAGCTGTCTGGTGTGAAATCACTTGTTCTCGTCTCAAATCCAGCTGCTTATTCAGGGGAAGCATTTAGTGCAGACAATTAGAAATACTGGCAAAGGATTTTAGGAACAACCCTCCACCATTTGAACTTTGAAGGCATGCTGTACTACAGTACCTTAGTGAAAGTAGAGCTTATAGGACAGGTTCTCTCTTTCAAGTGCAATATGTTTAGGGAAATACACAGAATATCAGTCCCCTTACAAAACAAGGCAAACTATGCTTCATTTGTGCATTAGTGTCTTTCTTTCATGAGTCCATGTGCAGTGTTTGGGGCTTTCCTCAGCAGAAGGACGTCATGTGGCTGTCCTTGCCTTTTCAGAGTAGATTCCCTCTGCAGGTACACAGACAGAAGATGTGGTTTGGTGAGATCCAGTGAAGGAAATGCAAGAGTCCTTGAGCGACAATCCATTAAATCCTTAGTAGACAGTGTGCTTAGGTTAGTGTAAAGTCTCTCGATGGAGGTTGCGATGCTTTGGAGAACTGTTGGTTCAGTTCCTAGTTAAATTCACATAATTTCAGTGCACTCCTCAAGTTAAACTTAGGGGGTTTTTAACTGTTCCAGTCAGTATCAGTGTCGCACTTCATTCTCAATGAGGCTGTCCTCACCAGACTGGAAGTCCTCATTCAAGCCATTTTCCACATTGATTATTTCCTCGTCCTGCGAGGACCCCTGGCCATCTTCCTCGCCACTGCCTGACCCCCCCTCTGAATTTGGGTCTTGGAGAACCTCAGCTATGTACATTTGCTGTAGGGGAGAAAAAGCAAGGTTAATTATTTTCTGCTTCGTGTTAAGATCTCCATACAACAAAAAAGTGAATTCTATTGACATATGGTTACTGATAGTTTACCCTATAGCCAGTTTAGCACGATAGAATGAACAGAAACGTTTGAAAGTTGTTAAAATATAAAAAACAAGAATGAAATTGAGAAGTATGTCCCATCTCATTCCACTGTTTGATCTTGAGGCTTATATTGTTATAAAATAAACATAAATGAATACATACTCCAGCTTTGTTGGTTGTAGTAACGCACGGCGGACGCCCGTTCTCCAACCGCCCGTTCTCCAACCGCCCGTCTATCTCCTGGTCGTCGATCTAGGAAGGAAAAACATGCATTTTACATAAGCAGCTGAGTATAACACTAGTGTCAAATACTGCGGAGTTTAGGAAACAGGAATAATATGCACAGGAGGATGATTTTCTTACCTTGTAGTTGTGAGCACTGAGATATTTAAAGTGTCCGAAGCAGACGTGAGAGAGGCAGATAATGATTGTGATGACCAGAACTACGAACGTGAACATGGATGTAGCCGCTGAAAATCCTGGGAAAGAAATGGAGGGATTCATCAGTTGTATGTACTTCGTATGCTTTGGATAAAAGTGTGCACATAAATGTGGGCATGTGTTAGGACATTAGTGGCCTGTAGATGGAGTCCTCATCTTACCGGAGCGCACAGTGGAAAAGAACAGAAGCCCAGAAAGAGACAGAGAATAGAGCAGCCACCACTTGGTTGACCGCTCCAGAATGGATTCTTCTTGTCCAGTTTGGACGGCAGATATGCGTAGTAGTACATGTTGTACCTGTCCGCGAGGTGTTTCAGCAGCATGTACATCAGCCCTGCACAGAGGAAGGGACAACACAATTAGCGGAACTAATCTCATTAGGCACGCGGATAAGCTTCTGTATGAATCACAGAGCCACTGAATGCCCCCGGCCTCTGTCTGTTTCTCTAACAGTCATTTGATAAGCACACTATCTTGATGTGAAACAGCAGAGACCCCCAGCGGGGGTAATAAATGGCAGAACTCACAAAGGGGACAATGATGGGGGCAGGTGATGCTGTAGGTCATTACTACAGTGAAGACGCACTCATCCAGGCATAGGCTTGCCCCGAACTGAAACTCATAGGCTTGGTGCTATACAGACACAATTATAGAATTAAAAGAAAATCCAAAATCTAAACATCACTTTTTCACAAGCAAGATCACGTGCATCTCATTAAAAAAACATCAATATTTCCAACCTAATGTCAAAGTAGAACTTCCCATTCTTTTCGTATTTATGACATTTAATTTCCCCCATTAAGTTCCAGAAAAGATGTTTGTGTTGGAATGTGTTATAAGCAGGGATTTATTTTTAAACCAAACTTCCTTATAGGTCATGGACTTGGCTATAAAGAGAAAATGCAATATCGTAGTGTTTTTGATCAAATACTCCATTTTAAATGTTCCAATGTTGTTGTAGGGTTGACTATTGACGCCGTCATAAAATATTCACACAGTGAGATTATTGATGAATAATCATTAGTAATATGTAAACTGGAAGTTGGAAAAAGCAAATAATAACTTCTGAAAAATGTCCTCACTTTATTGTAATGCAGCAATTACAGTAAAGTGACCACTTTTGAGATATTGTGATATGGAAGATGTAAGACGGTATGTAGTCTTCCGTCACGATATCTATAAACTATCAATATATATTGCCCTGCATGGACCCATAAATGATGAGGTCACACTCACCTTCTTGACGTTCCTCCTCTCTGCTGCAGAGCGAGCCAGGCAGAGGCGGATCATGTACATGAGCAGACCGGGGATCCGCAGCAGATCCATGGCATTACCGATGAACGCAGACGCAATGACATAATTCACGAAGAAGGCTCCATTATCAGGAAGGAACACACACCTTGAAAGGAAAGAAAAAGTCAGCATCACAAAAGGACTGAAGTCAGACTTACGTTCAGGTTTGAAAATGCATTATGCAGAGGCCAATGAAATGTCAAAATCATTTACATTTATTATACCTAGAGGGGGTTTGTCTAAACGGATCAAATAAAAACAGTATTAAATCATTATCTTTCAAACAAAATGTGAACTATTATTATTGTTTTTGTTATTTCTGTATGTTTCATGATTTATGTTGTATTGGTAATTGTATAAAACCATTTGAACTATTTATGGTATTTAAATGGTTACGGTGTAAATATTTCATCCTGTTCTGCTTTATTCTAAGTGTTGCATTTGAACATCCAGAGAACGCTCCTACTTACTCAAATCTAACTTTAGCATCTGCCAGGAATCTTCTGTCAAAAAGCCAGCGGAAGAAAACATCCAAACTGCAAAGACAAAAGGAGAGAAAGGCATCAGCTCAATTACTAAGCCCGCCCAAGATGAATTCATTTGCAGGTTCACATTTCATTGTGTTGCAGGGAAGAAGTCAAAAACATACCTGCTGAGTCCTAGAGAGGGCAGCAACAGGACCATGAAGATCAAGAAAGTGTAGCATTTATGCATTGTGGTCCGGTTCTCTCCTGACCTGTAAGGCCAGAGGAAATAATGACATGTCTTTCAAATAGAAACAGGGCAGACAGAATACACTTAACCTCAAAAAGGAATACATAATTGACTCTGCAGTATATATATATATATATATATATATATATATATATATATATATATATATATATATGCTGAGTTATTGACTCCAGACAAACATACCGAGTCCAGTGGGCCTCAAAGAAGGCAGAGTAGTAGACGATGGTTGGCAGTAAGGCGGAGAAGGACCACAGTAGGAGGGTGGGGAAGAACTGGGTGACGATTGGATTCTGGAGGACGGATCAGAGAGTGGTGGACATGTTGTATTAATAATTGAGAGTGCCTAAATCGTGATGTGATGGCATGGACTTAACGCTCGGCAAAGATAAGAACACCTGAACTGATTGCACTCATAAAGGGAAGACTCACATTTAGGTACTCCACAGGTTTGGTAACATTAAACTTGTCCATTGTGGAGATGATGATGGCCGGGGTGGTGAGGAAGAAGAGGAGGAGGAAGAGGACAATGTTGATGATCAGGCAGCGGAGCCACCAGGTGACTCCTCCCACTGACAGATGCTCCCTGTGTGATGGAGTTGATGCAGCGGTTAGATTGACTCTGGGCGATGACCCGCAGTTATGGACACAGCTGCGCGGTAACCTGACACCACAGCTAAACAAATCCTTTGTCATCTTGAGAGAGAAAGTCTCAAGTGATTATTCCAAGCGATACAAATCAAGTTTGTGCCTGTAGATTTCCCTTTAGGTACTTGCCTTCCTTCTGCCAAAATGCATCCACCCTTTCAAATGTGTGGAGTTATATCATATTGAAACTTTGTTTTATTTATCTAGCCCTGTAGTCAGACAGACGATATGACCTGAATGTGTTCTCACCAGTAGACATTTTGTGGATCAGGGGCGTAGCTGACGGTCCAGTTGTGTGTGTGGAGCTTGACGTTGAATTGAGAGCTCTTGGGCTCCCGGCGACACTGACAGCCCTGACACTTGCAGGCGTTAAAGTCTTTTAGGATTCTGAAAATGAAATTACAACAAAACAAAGTAGAGACTTTACCGAGGGTGAAATAATCTGCTAAACTAAACGTCACAGATGTGTATTCATAAATATGACCCCACGTAAAATGTACTTACATGGCAGTGATGGACTCGTTCTGGAAGGTGACAAAGGCCATTCCCAGGGGCTTCCTGTTCACCTTTTCTTTCTCCTTCCTGTAGTCCTCTTTCAGTTGTGACTCCAGTTTGGTATAGTAGCCCACTGCCTCTTCCTTTAAAAAGGAGAAGCCATTTACATTGCATTAATAATGAAAAACACGGTCAACTGCATGGTTATCTCTTCTAATGTAGTCTAAATCCACTCAAACTACAGCTTTGTTTTTTAGAAAAAATGAAGAATGTTTATTTTGAGGAGTTAGTTTGTAGTGAGCATAATAATATATTATAGATGTTTTGGTGTATTGTGTACTGTAAATACAACAAGATGCCTTCTTTATCTTTCCCCAAAAAATGTTGTACATTTCAGCGTGTTAACACGGTTCAGGAGTGTGTTGCTCTGATATATAGCTACAATATAGTTATTTATTTAATCGTTTATTTGGTAGGGACATTGCACATTAATGAACACTTAAAACAATAAATGTGCCAAGCGTAAATATGCCGGATTTAGCTTTGAGCTACTTTCCATCCGCAGTCCCTGAATATGAGTCTTACCCGCTCGCAGCCTTTAATGATGCAACAGCAAAGATGTCCGCATGGTTTTGGATTGATCATGGTGGTAATGTGCTCCTTGGCATGCAGGTCAATAAAGAATTTCTTGCTGCGCTCCGTCTTCTTCCTGTATGCAAAAAATTAAAATCAGCTGTGTCAAACTGAGGAAGGGCTACTTCACTTAAACAAGCCAAGTTCATCCAAAATTGCTAAACAATCACACACGTATGCACTAAATGTTAATTGTTGTTACCTTTCAGAGTTGAGGTACATCAGCCTGGCCACATTGTAACAGATACGAGCCTCCAGTACAACACAGTTTTCATACGCCTGCCTGAAGAAGGGCATAGAGTTTAACTTACACTTACAACGGCAACATGTATTTACTAAAGATGACATATCTCTACCACCATAACATTAGCTACTCACAAAGAGTATATGAATGCAACAGCCACAAACAGTAAAATGCTTTTATAATTGTTTATTTTCCCTGTACAATGTTCCTTCTGTACTAAAGCATGGTGGCTATTTTTGCAGAAAAGAACAAAGAAACCATTTTCACTGATGCCATTTATCTTGAGCCCAACACCCCCTCCTCAGTCTTTGACCCTCTTGACACATGACTAGCATGATCCTGCTCATCTGGCTTTTATTATGCACAATTAGCCATATAGGCCTGTCATTGTGTGATCGAATGGGCCAGCACAAGACAGCTGCTTTTAACAGGATCAGGCATGGCTCTCATACGGCTTATCGGTGTCGTGAAATATCAGTATTCCTGAAGACTGCTTACTCAAAGTGTTGCTTTATCTCAGCCTCCTCTGCGTATTTGGAGATTCCATTGACAAATAAAGTGCGTTTCACCTGCGGGGAAATGAAGACGGGGAGGAAATTAGCAACACAATTCTCCCTGCGATCTGTGTGTACAGGGAGTGTATGTGACAGACATTGTACACCCACCAAGTCATCCTCCTTGTAGTGCATCTTTGAGGTGTGCCGTCGCATGCTGTACACTGTCAGTAACAGGTAGAGAAATGCAAAGATGGTGTGCAGCCACATTAGTGCATTTCTGAGGAAATAAAGGGAAAGCATTTAGTGACACAGCATTAGGAAGTGAAGACTCAACTCAAGGCTAAGTACAGTATACCACCAGACTCCGGGACAGTTTCATTCCACATGGACATAAGACCGATAAACACCTGAACTCTGTAAAGAATATCCATGAACATTCATCTGTTTGCATCTTGCTAATTATTTATCTAATATATCATATTCCATTTACTTGTATATAGACTCTTCTTGCACTATTTCTATTTTATTTGTATTTACTTGCACATCTCAAAACATTCTCTTGCACTATTGTATCCGTTGTATTTGTTCTATATATATATATATATATATATATATATATATATGTTGCACTGGTGGAGGAGCCTGTGACTTAAGTTTCTCATTGCCATATCTACACTGTTGCTCATGTGCACAAGACGATAAAGCCTTGAATCTCGAGAAGTATAAAGTAAAGGTACAAGAATTACTCACCCTGAATCCAAATTTGCTATAGTGGTTCGCCCAAAACTGTAGGCATTGTTTTCTGAAAAAAAGAAGAAGAAATATGATAATCACTTGTCAATCATCATTGGTGCTGCTTATCTGCAGAAGTACACAAAAATAGATAATAGCTGCAAGTAAAATACAAACGAGAAAAGGCAGACTCACCGAGTCAAACATTAACAGACTAACTTTTAACTAAAAGTATCCCCTAATAGTTTATTCCAAACCACTCACCAAGTAAGTTTCCAGAGAAGTTAACAGGCAAGATGATGCCCACCGACATCACGCCCACCACCACCAGCAGGCCAATGATGTGTCGCTGAAAGGAAAGGTAATGGACCGCATCTTCCCCACACTTCTCCCTTATCTCTTCATCTCTAAAGAGAAACCACACAAAAAGACAGCAATATGAAGAAAAAAAACCCAGAAACATTTTATATCCAGTTGAATCAATGTTTTACCAACTGTTATTATTTCCAATAAGCCTTGAGAAGGTTGACTCACTTGATGCGGAAGATGGCAGTTAGCCAGGAGCAGAAGCCCTAAAAGGGAAAGAGAGGAGAGAGGTGAAGATGTGACAGTTATCACAAGGAACCAACGTGTATTTTAAATGAAAGAAAATGCATCAGATTTGATCTTTTAAGAAACATTTCATACTTACAGTGTCTCTCTGATCGATGTCGACAGAGCTGGAAACTGAAGTGAGGCGTTCGTAGCGTTCTGTTGCATCTGATGTCATGGTAGTGGCACTGTGTGAAGAAAAAACAATACATAGTATTTGCAGGATTTTACACAACTAACTAACACCATGTATGTACCATACAGGGATGTTAGTACTGCGTGTCCCAGGACAGTGGAATAATTATTAGTGCAGAAAAGATGACAACACCAAACACACACACAGACACGCCCTGAAATGGACTGGAGAGATTCACCCCTGTTTAACCTGCGTGTGCTGGCCACAGGATTAGGGTTTGGTTAACCAGTCAAGCACAGGCTCAATCTCTGCAGCCACATTTCATGCAGCGTTAGGAGTCTACTCTACACGGGTTGAGTACACCATCACTGTCAGAGGAAAGGTTGTGATAAAGAGTTAGAAGGCAAAGCTCTACAGAGAAGAACACTCACAGAAAACAGCAGAAACCCAGTGATCATTAAGAGGCAGTTGGATGGAGTTTTGTCATTTTATTTCAGGGGCCACATAGAGCCCAATTTGGTCTCAAGCAGGCCGGACCAATAAAGTCATAGCATAATAAACTACAAATAACTCCTAATTGTTCCCTTTGTTTTAGTGCACTATTGAATTCACTATTTATGTACAAAATATTATGAACAACCTGACATTTCTTGCAAGTGCAATTTCAACCATTTTATGCCTCAGTTCATCATTTACACATGTGCATTACAACTTACAGATCACAGTGTGTCTACAAAGGCACACAACATTTAGTCACAGGTATCTGGCACTGAGCAACATTACTTAATGATCAACACAAATGGTCAAGATCTAGAAATTATTTTACATTCATTTCTTTTTATATTTTGTTGCATCAGTTAATTTCGTCTTCCTGTATTTTCCCGAGGGAAACATTATCTATTTTTATCGTTTTTATTATCATATCTTTCACCTGTTTTAAAAAAGGTCTTCACATCTGATCTAATGGGAATTTATTGTTGTTTGTTTTAAATTTGTTATGTGTGCCATTTTGTAAAGCACTTTGAACTGCACCTGCTGTATGAAAGGTGCTGTATAAATAAAGATTTATTATTATTATTTCCACATCTGTGTAGTTATCCTGACCACTTGAACTAACACACCACCATACAAGCTACAGTGGAAATTATTAATTATTGTAAATCTATAAATACAAAATAAATAAATTGTAGTTAAAGTCTTCTCTGTAATTTTTAGACTTTGCAAAGTCATCCTGGAGGCCGAATTGGACACTTTTGGCAGGCCGTTTTGGCCCAAGGGCCATATGTTTGACACCCCTGCCTTGTTATATACGTTTGATTGCACTCCCCAGGGAGGTGATGTCAATTTAATCATAACGGAGTATGAAAATGAGCCAGGCACTGCTGGAATTTGAACAAAGTTGAGGATTCAATACTCCATGAAAGGAAGACGTAACACAGGGCTCTAAGAGATCTCTAGTGGAATGAGGAGAAAGCCTGAGGCTGTAATCTACCGCCAGTCCTCCTCTTGCACATTCCTAGGAGAAGTCAGGTTGGTTCCTCTCAGATCTAAGTACACAGGGTTTACTGTAGCTGCACCGTGTCAGGGCCTGTTTACTATCTACGTAACATTACCTCTCCCCGTAAGCATCCTGCCTGTGCGGCTCATGCGCTGCGCTCACAGAGAAGAAGTCGGAGCTTCAGAAGGGGGTCAACACAGAGATTAGCACACACAGATCTGATTAGGACAGCGAGATAGGACAGGCGCACCCGAGAGCAGACGTACAACAGTGACGAGGAGAGGGAGAATGATTAGAGAGCCTGGCACTGGCAGACTTCTGGAGGACAAGGGGGAAACAAACTAAACCATCAAGAGTGGAAAACAGGCGGAAACCCACTGCGGCCTGGGCAGAGTGGACAAGAGGTATGAGTTCGGTTAACTACAGCGAGAGGAAAGGAGAAAAGAAACAGGCAGTGAGTCCACGATATGGAGCGATAACATACTATTCCCGATCATCCAGCCGACTGTATCGTTGATCCATTCTTCTGGTGAAAATAAAAGCAAAACAAAGCCATTCAGCTTAGTTAAGGGGGAATGGCCCTGTTGGCCAGTTAGGGTGCTGGTTCATAGAAACACTGAGGAAGCATATTACACCACAGGCATACCAATGAAGGGTGCTATTCATTCTGCTATACATAATACAGAAATCTAGAGGTATTTATGGCCTATGCTATAATAAACTCTGCATTTATTTAAGTTGAGCATCATGTCCTCAGTAGCTCAGACACATTTTACTTGATTTACAAGTCTTCCTAGTAAAGGTTATACACTGAACAAAAATATAAACGCAACACTTTTGTTTTTGCTCCCATTTTTCATGAGATGAACTCAAAGATCTAAAACATTTTCTATAAACACAAAATAACAATTTCTCTCAGATTAGGGGTAGGGTTAGGGTAATGTTGTGAATCGAGAGGCCTGTGTTCGTCGTCCATAACATACGCCTGCCCATACCATAACCCCACCACCACCATGGGCCACTCGATTCACAACATTACCCTAACCCTCACACCAGATATTGACTGGTTTTCGGACCCCCCCAATAAAGCAAAACTGCACGTTTCAGAGTGGCCTTTTATTGTGGCCAGCCTAAGGCACACCTGTGCAATAATCATGCTGTCTAATCAGCATCTTGATATGCCACAGCTGTGAGGTGGGATGGATTATCTCGGCAAAGGAGAAGTGCTCACTATCACAGATTCTTTCAGATTTGTGAACAATATTTGAGAGAAATGGTTATTTTGTGTTTATAGAACATGTTTTAGATCTTTGAGTTCATCTCATGAAAAATGGGAGCAAAAACAAAAGTGTTGCGTTTATATTTTTGTTCAGTGTATTTACTTTTCAGATATAACATGTATGACAGGCGCTGATCACAACCAGCCCTTTGTCATGAGACAACAAACTACATTTCCTGTCTGTTACAAAGTGTCCCATGCTGCCACCCCCTCCCATCCTCCCATCACGCTGCAACCCCGTTCTCTGTTCACATGCAGCTGCAAAAATAGTGGAGCTGCAAGATCCCACAGACACAGCGGGGGGATGTAGGTGATGGAGCACTGTGTCACATACTTTGCAGGGTTTACAGTCAAAGAGGTCTTTAGCAATGTCTGAGCTTCTTCTCTCTCTCCCCAATTTGATTATCCCGTTTCATCTCATGAGTTAAAAAGTTTAAAAAGGAGCACTGCATCAGCCCATGTTGACCGATTCCATAACCATTCTTATTATTTGATCAGCGTGCAGACATCAGTCTCGGATTATACCAATATATCTGGCTGCATATCATCATAAAATCCACATTCCACGGGGCTTGGATGCAGACAGTGGCTTTTAAGTGGTGCAGTAAATTGATTTGAATAAATAATGGTTTCTGGGTTGCCGGATACTCAGTGGTTACACTGGCGGCCCATAAGGGGCCTCTGCTGCCCAGTATGGGGGTTTGACTCGCGGCAATATCAGGAAATGTCCTCACCTCTGTCTCCCCCCTTTCAACAATTAATCTATCAATAAAGGCACAACTGGCCCAAAAATATATATATTTTTTTAAATGGTTATACGACATCAAATAATGGTTTCATTGGTTTAGTTTCTTTCCATTTCAGGCTTATTGCAACAGCAGTCTGTCCTTTCTATCTCAAGGTGAACAGACCATGACACAAGTGGCAAAGCATGACAATGTCAGAGTGCATTATTGCCATCAAAAGTGAAACTGCGGACAGACTTCCTGTCTGGAGTGTCACCCTTGTGATGCTTGCTTCACAAAACTAACGTTACCCTTTAGAATAAGGACACTGAATAGTCTAGGGTCATATAGCATCTAGTATGAATAGCCACCAAGGGCCAATTACTGATCAAACACTGATAACACGTGTGTTTTACAGATAAATCAATAGGGGTCAGCAGCCACAAGGCTTCTTTCATAATGTGTCCCTGTTGAACACAGAACACTTTTCTAAATAAAGGCAAATCATATCAATGCCTAACAATGGCTCTGTGTCAAGCAGAGGCATTGGGTTCAGGCTCCTGACTTGCTGCTTGTCACACAGGCTCAACCGAAAGTCCCATTTAAACGTTAGCATGCCTGTTGCTCCTGCAACTGTAAAACGCCTGACATCACATAAGGATCAAGATGTTAAACAAAGCATTTTTATGAGAGGGGATACATTTTAAGTCAACACAGGTATCAAACATTTGAGGAACAATTTACAAAAACATATTTTTACCAAACAAAATGGTTTAGGTTGGTTATTGTTGTTAACACACTTTTCCAAACAGTTAACTTTTCCAAACAATTATTAGCTGTGAATTCAGCAGCTATAACATGTAAGAAACTGTGATGTGGACCTAAGGGTGCAATGTTTTCTAGTTACCTGTCAGCGTCAGTCACCAGAGCGAGGCGCCCATAGTCCCACGCTACTTTTCTCAGGAAGGAGAATACAACCAGCAGCCCCTACAAGTACAACATAAACAGTTACTGTCAACACACACACACAGATCTAGTCCTTTATTTACATTACAGAGAAAGGTTACATAACTCCTTGAGTGTTATCATTTCAAAAGACATTCTTCTAAGTGTTTTACCTCAATTCTGACACTTGAAGATAAGAAATGAAAGAAAGACTCACCAAAAAGCACATAAAGTCAAGGGCAAGGACTGTAGGCACCCCCCCGAAAGGTAAACCTTGCAGCACTGTACTGCGAATCCGGGCGGAGTAACAGAAGTCCTTGGAGGTGGAATTGGGCGTCAGGGTCGGGGGGCAGTTGCCTGAATTGGGGCATCCGTGCACCCCCAGACCACCATCATGAATATCAACACTCGGTGCATTACTCAATGCAACATTTTGACAATCTGTAAAGAAGAGACAACATTATTAGGATTCTTCTCAGTATGCTGATTAATGGTTTTGCAGTCTAGCATAATAGGTCACACTATCTATCATGTGCAACATTTGAGTAACTAACCCCAGACAGAAATGGACAGGAGATAGAAAACACTCACAATACTCATTTCTTTTTTTCCTTCCCTTTATACTAATGCTGACGTTTCTGTCTCGTCACCAGTCACATGCCATTGCTTTTGACCACATGTTTTAAAGCATTATATGCGGTCTGTTCCTTGTTAGTGGACAACATATCTGCAATTGACACATTGTCAACTTTGTCCCAAATGTAAGTAAAATAACTGTAGTCACACTGTATACTCTATACACCTGGTTGCCAGTTCTTTTTCACACCATTAAACTGTTACCCCTGTTTAAAACGAGATCAAGATATGTTTTCCTGTTCAGATGTACCTTAAAACACTTCCGCCCGGGCCTCTTAATAATTCCAGTAAAAATCAAGCTACCTTACGGGTAAATGACGGAAAACATAGACAAAAGCATGAATCTCGGTATGAAGGAAGTAATAAGTCCTTTGAGAAATGTATCTTTATAACAGCATCCTGATCCCAACACTAAAGCAAAGAAGCAAACAATGACTTCAGCAGGGTATTTCCAGCCTTAAGCATTCAGACTAGTTGTAAAAGAATCACACAAACACATTTAATCCTAGATAGGATATCAACCTTTTCTTCTGCCTTGGCGAACAGCACAAATGAAGTGTGCTACAATAGATCTCCAGGCTTAAAAAAAGACTTCTTGAAGATTCCTACCAACACTAAGGTTGACTTTCATTGACTCAGACAGGGATGCTTTAGGTCAGGAAATGGACTTAAATTACCAATTGAAGTCTTCTCAAATATTAGGTGCAGGGGGAAAGTATTGCTTGGTTAAAACACAAGCCATCCAATAAATACTTGTAACCACATGAGTCCATGAAAATGTCTTTGCTAAGTTGACTTGTATAATAACTTGTTTAGTTGACTGACGAACAGAAAACCCTGAAATCTAAAAATACCTTCTCCATCTTATTGAAATGTATCTATTTGGATCTGAAGGCTATGCCTCATAAGAGTTGTCATATTTTACAACAAACAGTGAACCGAGGGCTCGGAGGAGGCGCGTAGGTGTCCTGGTGAGTGTTTGCACAGTTGCAGTGCTAAAGGCTCCTTGTGCCCTTCGACCCACTACTAGCAGCAGCATTCACGATGCTGCTCATCTGCCCTAACACTAACTCATTTATCCGCTCCCTGGAATGCTGTGACATCACTGGAGAGAGACGCAGCCAGAGCCGAACAATAAGCCGATAGAGACCGCAGGGTTCAAATGGACCGGTCTCAACCTAAGGAGGACACAACATACCCCCCTGTGCCTTCAACAACACTGCTGCACATCCTCGAGCCATTGCCACAGTTCAGCCTGTTTAACATGCAACACCAACCTCTTGAAAAGGACTTAAGATAGGAGTTCTAAGTTGTTTTTGAAACTAAGTAGTTGGTACAGTAAGGCTGTCAGTGTCACGGGAAGTGTTGTGTTTCAAGTGACTACTAATCTTTCAAATGTATACAGAAATGTCAGGATTCAATTTAGAAATATTACATTTCAACCAAAACATTTACTGTATTCCACCATGAGGCACGCACACAAGTATTACTCAAGTGTAGCTTAAACTCAAATTGAAAATGAGTTGAGTTCTTTATCTGTTTAGTTTAACCTTATAATTGTCTGTTAGAACCGTTTGCATCCGAGGGTCGAGGGTTATCATTGATTAGTCGAGTAGAGCGAGGTCAACAGGCCGTTCAGGACTATACACTTTGTAAGGTGTTATTTACCACAGGATTGCATTATATTGTCAGTCCTGGTATTTAGTTTACACTTTGTTTTTAGATTTTCCCTTTGCGTTTTTTTCTTGGCCATTTGTTTAACAGGTCACCTTAAACCAGGGGTCTCAAACTCAAGGCCCGGGGCCAAATCCGGCCCGCGACTTCATTTTATGTGGCCCCGCAAGAGCTTGCAAAGAATATAATACGTTTATTATACGGTTACATGCCACTTTACAGAAGCAGGTTGCCCATAAACTACATGTCCCACAATGCATCTTGTTTTGTGACATGCGCACTGAAGAGACATGCAATTATTTGCCCTGGACTTCTGCTTTCAGACATAGTTAATGACTAAGTTATTATCCAATCCGATAATAATCCAATTCAGAGGCAATAATGTAATATAATACATTATTGTATATATATATATATATATATATATTATATATTTATATAGTTACAACCGGCCCTTTGAGTGCAACCTTTATGCAAATGTGGCCCGCGATGAAATTGAGTTCGACACCCCTGCCTTAAACAGACATAAGTTATATCGGCACCAAAACTAATTGCCTTAAATCCTGTTTGATTTGTACATCCCTGTTTGTTTGCTTGCGTTGCAGTTTTCTACAACACTACTTTTGTTGGGGCATATACAAGCCCCAGCATGTTGTTGTGCGCTTGCATGATGCAAGCAAACAGGGATCCAAGAGGTCTGTTCAAGGGTTAGTGAAAGTGTGATACAATCATTTGAACCATGATTCCTGACAAGTACAAGTAGAATTTAGGCAGATGATTGCAGCAAAAACAAGTGAAAGACATAATAGTACTCACATTATCCCTCACATTTAACACTAAGTGGATGTTTTCTGAAATCCAACCCACTCTCAACTCTGCTGAGATTTAGAATGTGCTTCTGTCTGATATGACTTTCTGAAAAGTTTTAGACTACAACTCCTTTTTGGATTATTATATTTTCTATATCAAGAACCATTTGTATCAGCACGTTGTTTGCATGACTCAGTGGAACAGAAGTATTGTGCAACCTTTCCACCTGATGCTAGTTGCTATGGTACCATCAGTCTGGCACACATTTTCAAAATACAAACAAACATAAAAGGGAATGAAGGCAGCGGGGGAGACAATCCCATACTTCTCCGTTTAAAAACTCGCAGTCAGTTTGCCGTTTGCTCTACAGCTTAAGATGCAAGAACAACAGGGTTTGTCTGTGTGGTATAAAATGTATTATTCTCTAGTTAGACAAACATTATCAGAGCCAAGAGTCTACCTAGACCAATTAAATGAAAATGTCCTACAATACATTCACACTATCAAGTCCATGCAGGCAGCTGCATGTTTATTATATGCTGATAATACAGATTCTTAATGCTTGGAGATAGTGAAGGTCTCTGAGACTCTGTGCCTGCTCCCCATCTACCATAAGCAACAACACACATTCATACTGTAAATCTATAGTTTGCATACAAGAGTCACGACTCCTTAAATCTTCATAAGGTAAATATTTGAAGAAATGCTTTAAAATGTGGATTATGAATTAGGTCAGCAGTTGTACAACAACCACAAATTGAGATGGGCTACCTCACTTTCTAAAGTGAATAAAAACAAATACAACTAAAAAAGGGACACACTAAGTGCCAACAGTAGGGGTGTAACGGTACACGTACCGAAATTATTCGGTACGGGCCTTTCGGTTCGGTACAGGTGTGTACCGAACGAATATAACGTTAAACGTAAACAATTGAGAACGTGAATAACTTTTTGGAAGTAAGCTCAGGTGCTGCGTCGCAGCAATAGGTGCTTTCACACTGCGGTACTTTTCCCACAAAGGTTCATGTGAATTTAGTTCATGAGAACTCTTTAGTTCGCATGAACTAAGTACAGATCGCGTTCACACTGGAAAAAGTCCCTGGGGGTGGATTAGGTAAATGAAGCCGCTGACGTCACTTGTTCTTCTTCTGCTTTGGGTTTACTGGCAGGCTGCAAACCACTTCACGGCGTATACTGCCGCCCAAAGTCCCCGGCCGGAAGTCCCCGGAGTTGGGGACTGGCTTCAGTAGAAGCTGCTGGGACTCCCAGCAGCTTCTACTGAAGCCTTCCGAGTAAATCGCCAGAACGCCGACACCTCCTCATCTCCACCGCTCCCATGTTTTATTTTGTGTTGCCATAAGTTAGTCTCTCTGCGTTTCTGCGCTGGGTTAATGCTAGTGCTAATAATGCTAATGCGAGGATAATAAAATGGCGGCTTCACAAAACTTTTTGGGAGTTTTACGGGGCGTGGTTTGCAATCCGCCCAGCCAATCAGAAATGTAGCTCTTTTCTCACAAAAGAGCCGTTCGAAAGTCCCTGCTCTCTAGCAGGGACTTTCGTGGGGGTAAAAAGGTTCACATTAACTAATTTTAGTACCGGCTCTTTTTGGTGTGAACGCGATAAAAGAGTTCACATGAACTAAGTTCACATGAACCTTTGTGGGAAAATTACCGCAGTGTGAAAGCGCCTATTCAGAGTAATTTGCTCACATTGGGTTCAACGCGTCATAGAGCGAGCAAGTCATTTCATTGGATGAGAGGCATACTATGAGAGCTGGTCAGAGGGATGCGTTCACATGTAGTCAGTAATTTGAGGAACTGTCAAAAATTAATGGCGAACGCAGATAAAGTTGAGCTCGAAAATCCTCCAGCATCATTGAAGTCTCCGGTTTGGGAACATTTTGGTTTCGCAGTTACGTACAAGGATGACGGACAAAGACAGGTGGACCGAACCAAAGCTGTTTGTCGGCATTGTTCAACTAAAATTGGTTACGCGGCTGGCAATACATCAAACTTGCACACTCATTTGAAAAGGCATCACTCGAACGTGAATATCACCGGTACCAAAAGAAAAAAGACTGAAGTGCAAACCCAACTCCCAATAGCATTTAAGCCTCCACCACTCGCAGAGAGTTCAGACCGAGCCAAAGCTATTACAAACACCAAATATCCTTATGTTGCCATGTTAGCAAAGCGCTACTTGGCTGTATCTGCTACCTCTGTCCCTAGAGAGGGTTTTCTCCACATCAGGAGACATTGTTAGTGCCAGCAGATCTGCCCTTTCAGCAAGCAATGTGGACAAGTTCATCTTTCTTTAAAAAAAACATGAAAATACAATGACAAGCAAGTCCTAATGTCAAGCTGGCTGCTTAGGTGCTAGTACAGTAGGCTGCTACAGTTCAAATACAGATTATTTCAGTTCATCGAAATGCTGCACCTTAATGTTCATTTTATTATATTTTGTATTTATTTGAGTGAATATTCAGTTTAATAATAATTAAAAACCCAAAACTAATAGTTTATGTTTTGTGAGTACTAGTACAGTAAAGTTCAAATACAGATTATTTCAGTTCATCGAAATGCTGCACCTTAATGTTTAGTTTATTATATTTTGTATTTATTTGAGTGAATACATTATTCACAGTTTAATAATAATAATACAAATATATATATATATGTTTTTGTTTTGTGAAAACAAATTCTGCTGTACCGAAAACGTACCGAACCGAACCGTGACCAAAAAACCGAGGTACGTACCGAACCGAAATGTTTGTGAACCGTTACACCCCTAGCCAACAGTAAGTTGAATTGGTTTTGGTCAACACTTTTACACTAGTAGTCTATCATCTACATAATGACCAAACACATTCTATGGAAGCATTTATTAAGTAGATAAGTACTTTTGTTTTATAGGCTGAATGACTTAAGAAACTCATGAGCAAATCTCTGATAACAAAAGTTGAAAGTGGTGCTTTTACATTTCTTTTTTCTGGAGAAACTCAGTTTCTCATATTTGTCATCAAGTTAACTAAATGATTATCCCTTAATATAATAATATGAAGATGATGATAGGCAATTCAAGCAAACCACTCTCTTAAAATAGGAAACTATTGCGTGTGTCTTGCATGAAAAGATGTAATCAACCGTTCCATCTCCAATACCAAGAACACAGTGACCAATAGTAACAGGTGTTGCTTCAAAACATTCCACATTGTAAAGCCTTGAACCTAAGAGCATGTTTGACTTTAATATGCCACCACTTTCCTAAAATGTTTCCTGATCAAGTCTCCTTCATCATTCTATAAAGTGTTGATGATGAACGCATTTGCAATGTCAAAAAAATAAAAAAAGAGATTAGGTGGACACCTTATAAACCCCTATTGTGCGGTCTCTGTAAATAATATTATACAGAGTTTGGTCAAGGCTGGCAAAGATATATGAAAAGTGCCCTGAGAGGACTTCTGTGATGATTTGGCACCATATTAAAAGAGTAAATTGAAGATAATGAGAACCAACTAAATGTGGCCTATGTATCCAATAATTATAAATGTCCACATAGATTTCTTAATGTAATCAATATGTAGGTCAAAGTTTAAAAACTGTTAAGATAGTTTTGAATGTTTTAGCTGCTTTTACAAACCTACTTTAAGATAATCATAGTCATACATGGCGTGAATTCCAACAATCCTGATGACAGATTTGCACATACTAGTCTTGTTGGTATTAGTCTGTAAATCATTAACAGCTCAGTGCCTCAGCTTTGATTATCACACACGATATCAGAGTATGGTTTCATAATTATGTCACAGTATGAATGTAAAGGCCACAAAGGCAAAGAAAGGAAATTAGGGAAAAAGTGAAATGTTGGAATCCTTACCGATTATTAATGTGTAGCACTAGTACACAATCAGCTTTACTTAGATAAGCTTACAGTGAGCTCTTATTCATTCAACAGTGGAGAGGAGATCATATCAGCACTAAAATTAGACAATCACAGTTGATACAATAAAAGACTTACATGCTAATTGGAAAACAAGGCAACAGCTTCACATTTAAAAATCAGCGTCACGTTTTGTATAAATCTAATTAATTATGTTATCTTTGTAATAGTTCAATCTAAAGACCACAAACCAAGACTGTGGTAAATTGATTGATTTAGTGGTTTATAAATTAATAAACCACTAATGGAACATTCTTTCTGTAGGAAAAGCACAAATACACGCAGCATTTGATAAGGAGGAAGTTATGGAAGACTTATGTTAATGTGTGTATGAAATCCACACAGACTGATTAGATCTTATTAGAAGGCTTTACATCATATTCCATTCATGTCACTGATCCACAGAATGACCAATGGACACAATATTAAGACTGACATTAGCTAGCTCTTGTTTATCCCTTTACAGGCTATTCACAAGGAGCTATAAGGGTCACTCACAGCTAAGTCATCAGCCCACCACAAAGCTCATGTTATTCTTACGCCGTGTAACCTGTTAGTGTCAAGGGATTCTCTCAATAAAGCATTGCCCAACTACTCGCGTTAGACAACTGAAGTATGTTAGGAACGACTGATCTTATCCTGGTTATCTGAAAGGTATGTCAAAACACAGGCCTGAAACCTACCGCTAAGCAGGCGCACATTAAAGCTATAGCTGCATTGTCTCATAGATCTTGTTGTTTCCTTACGTCAATCAGCAACCCAGCAATTTAAGACAACCACGCATTGTGGAGATACCATACCACTTTTTGAGATAACATGAAACAATTCTGGCATCTACTTCATCGTGAACAGGAGAGTATGAACAATGACTAAACAACCAACCAAACACCCAAGCTCCTGATAAGGAGCAGCGGGCGAACTTAATCTAGGGCTTGATATTCGAGTGTCGCAACCCATAAAATAATAATGAATGTCACAGTATCCTATTTCAAAACAAAACTCGAATTCTCACCATTCCGTTACCTAGTTTATAATGATATCATCCGATATGGAAAGTAGCACACATTACCATGCACTGACATTACTGCTGCCGCAGCTCTATGCCGGTTGATCTGTTAGCCTGGCGCTAACGGGATATGTTTACTGTTTATTGTTCCGACAGCAATTATTATTAAGTTTGCCAGCTGCGAAGTAGAGCACTGATAGCTTCCGAAGCTCTAGGGAACAACCAGACAGTTTTTTTTGTAAACTACTAATATACGCAGAGTTAATAAATTAGGAACTCAACTTACCTTGCAATGATACGCAGCAGGGACATTAACTAACACAATTAGCTAATGCGAGCTAACAGTCAACCTTAACGTTGATGTTAGCTAACTTAGCCCCTCGATGTAGCAAATAACAGGTGGAGGATATCTACATGTCTTCTTTGTTGCACTTAAATATATTCCGTTGTACCTCTCTTACCAAGACAACTAAAGCTAACCAGATAGAGCCAGTCGGTCACACGCTCTCGGTGCTCTGAGTAATGATAGACAAGTCTCAGCTGCGACGGCTGCCTGTCAGCCAGTTGAACAACTATCGCTAGCCCAACCAGTCTAACGGGAGGTTTAGAGAGTGACGTATATAGAGGTAGATCGGATAGAGAGATGACACATCTTTAAAGCGTACGCCACAACCCCGGCGTTTTGATTGGGTCTCTTCTATATTCTTCTATATCTATGTCACCGCAGCGCATTTATATGACGTACAGGAAAGTAGCAAACAAGCTAACTGGGGCCGGTAGTTGTTTTTGCAGTTATTTCAGGTATTCTGACTTTATTTAGCACAAACGTTTGACATGTAACAACATTTATAAATCCAAATTGTAGCAGGTATTTGCAGTGGTGGGGGGTATTTGTTTCCTTGTTATATGTTTTTTGCATGATGCGTTTATCACCTTGCGTGGCTAAATGCGGTTGGTCGCGTTTTACTGACGCTCGGGTTTTGACATTGGCATGAAGCGTGATAGAAGGGTAACATTAACACGATTGATATTTTATTCTTGATCCTTGACGCTTTCCAATGCACTAATTAATGTATTTGGGGAAAATACTACATCAAATATGCTCCATCATTAAAACTAGTCAAACCACCATGTGATTGTTAGCTAATGCTAGCCTTATCATTATCAAACCCTTTAGCTTATTAGCAGCTAACCACCTAAATCTTCTGTTTCTAGCTGCCACAGAATTCGCTCCAAGTATGGCTCTCCCCCTGCTTTCAAGATCCCTTGCTGGGCTCCTTGTAGAGTCATCGTCAATAACTCATCAGAGGACTTTTAGGTAAGATCATTTGATGTTACATTTTATCAGCTGGGTCGTCTGGGTATTTTTGACAAACTCTATTCTACACGTCAGAGAGAGTAAAATAAGTTAAGTCACTATAATAGCAGTGGCATGCTTCAACATATCTTAATTTGTTTATGTCCCCTTTCACTCAAACATATTATTTGTTTATTGACGTTTGACCTTCATTGTGAGAAATCATGTATGAGTAAAGTCTCAACACAAGACTGTTATAAAGTCCACCTGCTGTAGGGGAAACTATTCTATGTGGTTGATCTTAATCTACTTGAAGATGTGGATGTTTTACATAATACTGCATGTTTCAGCCTGATGTTATAACATCACAATTAGTTGTAAAAACAGCCGTAATCCAATATGCTACATAAACCAATAGAATACATTTTGCATCTAATAGTGAAACATTTGAGATAAAACATTCTGTTTGTATTTTTATGTTAACCTTAAACTTTGTTGGCCATTTTTCTTCCACTTTAATAATAGCGACACCTAGTCCCAGTACACTTACTGTGAATGCTTTCATAGTTTCCTTGAGTTTTTTTCAGTCCTGGTTTCAGGAAACGACTCTAAAAAGCAATCAAATAGGGGTAGTGCGAATATTAAAGTTGTGGACTGAAACCAAATAATATCCTTTATCATGTGCACCTTTGGCATATTGTTTAATGTCCCAATTTAACATTAGAGCACACGTTATTCACTGTTTACTGTGTGGAGCAGCCTAGGCATTAAACTGTATATGACATGATCACCACAAACAGTCCATAAATTGGCATAAGACACTTGTCCACTGTTATTCCACTTTTAAACTTGAAAATCATTTATTGCAAGACTGCTGACTGAGGGGTCTGTCAAGGAAAGATGTAATCATCAACTAATATACTTTGTCTTCTCAGTGTATCTGCTGTTGCAGCAGCCATTCAAAAGATGACTAGAGTGCGTGTTGTGGACAACAGCTCCCTTGGAAATACACCATATCACCGTGCCCCAAGAGTGATCCATGTCTACACCCAGAATGGTATAGGAAAAGTCGGTGACAAAGTGTTGCTTGCCATCAAAGGACAGAAGAAGAAAGCGCTCATCGTTGGACACAAAATGCCAGGAGATCGCATGACGCCACGCTTTGATTCTAACAATGTTGTTCTTATTGAGGACAATGGGAACCCCACAGGAACAAGGATTAAGGTCCCTATACCCACACATCTACGTAAACATGAGGGAGAATACTCCAAGGTCCTGGCAATTGCTAATGCATTTGTTTAGTAACATCTTTAATCAGGTGTTATTTTTGATATATACTGTACATTTCACATGTTATGCTTGTATATGTTTTTGTCTTCAGTAAACTATATTAAAAAAAGCATACTCTCCTCAAAATGATTTAGATTGTTGTTATTAACGTGATAGACTCAAGTCTTGTCAACAGGTTTGACATTTTACTAAGTTTACAATAAATATAACCTTTACCATATAGGAGAGTTTGAGCAGCCAATGTGGGTCAAATTCATGTTATGAACAAACTGAGAAAGCATTTACCATGAGGGAAATATTTATTGAAGGCACAACATACATTCACAACATAAAATACATGACTGGCATATTTTCAATCTGTGTGTATAAGGCATATATTATCATGTGATCCCCGTGAATGTCCCTTGCGTGAATTGAAATACACCATTTCACACTGTCAGGCAACTTCAGTAGCATCATCCTAAACTAAATTGTCAGTGCAAAAAACAACAAAGTAGAACTAAACAAAGGTAAGCTGCTGTGCTTAAACTTCAATACAAATGAAATATTAACAAGCTAAACTTTCGAATCATGCCAGAAAAAAACATTGACATTATATTAGGTCTGTACTGCAGTGCCATCTACAGGTCTGCAGGTGCAACAATGAAACTGAAAACTGAGGTGATCATTACTCCTTCAAAATCTTTCTGTTAAACAATCAGGGCAAAATGGAAAAGAGTGCAGAATGATCATGAGAAACTTCACCTTTTTAAATCTTTACAGAAACAAAATTCTTCAGTTTTGTTGTGTTCCTAGTGAAATGTTTTTTTAGTGAGATTGAGCAGTGAATTTATTGTTAGTACATTCATACAGACAGTGAAACTAAAATATAATCCAAAATCTTGCAACAATGCACATCACAGCTAATGATTGTTGGCATGCAGGGAATCATGCTACCGATGATAGATCCAGGTGGCACAGTGATTGCTTCATACAGCAGGTTTGCATAGATTCCTAATTCAGCCGGGAGACACAAGACTTCATAGGACTTTGGTTTCCTATTGTAGTAAATCCCCCTGCATTTTTTGGTCTTGTGGAAGGTGGGGCTTAGCCTCCACCTACCAGGCCACACCGGATCCAACTTAAGGCCTGTAATCAGCAGTGCTCAGACCAAAAAAGGAAGGGGGATTTACTACACCAATTAAAAAGCTATTTTACTACTTTGCATACGCTGTTAAAGGATTGATGGGTTGCTAAGGCTGAGGGGTCTTCATTTCTCCAGGTTTATGGCAATCTGCAGCCACTGTACCTTTGCTGTTCCAGAGAAGATGGTCCTTTCAACCACACATTGTCAGGTAAAGCCACTGGCAACAGGAGAGAAATGTTAGATGAATAGTAAATACTATAAAGAAAATCACAATATATTTTGTCCACAGAACTTACCTCCGTTAGATTCATCTCAGCCTGTCCTGATCCATCCTTGTCGAAGTGCTGGAAAGACCCTGTTGATGTTTTTACAATAATCAATAGTCGGCACACATGTACTGTAGTATACATTTACAATATAACAATTTACAATAATACTCACTGAACATAGCTTCCAGCTTGACCAAGCAGCAGATGAAGTTGTCAAAGTCGACCATCTCGTTCTCCGCATACCGGGCTACCAGAATCTGGTTCAGTTTGTTGTTCAGTTTGAAACCTACACAGAAAGATAATAAAAATAAGGGTTACACTTCTCATCTGTGGGTGTGTGTACAGTAAATAATGGTGGAAATGATCATTAAGAGCACTATACACCTACACCTGTATAAATAAAGGCTAAATAAAAAAAAAATATATACCTGCTCCCTCTACAGCAAGACGTATCTCATATGAGCTCATGGCCCCGGACTTGTCCAGGTCAAAATCTCTGAAAATGACCTGGAGGATGGAAACAGAAAGATAAATACAGAGAATCTAAGTGTGAACACTGTTCCTGTAACAATGTGTTTATTGTTTTCGTTCTTACCAGCCACTTTCGGATCTTGTTCCAGAGGATCTGAAACTCCACCAGCCCTAAACGGGCACTACCGTCTTTCTGTTAAACACATGGTCAAGGGGTGAAACCACACACAAAACAATCACTAGTATCACAATTCATTAATTTAGTTTAAAATAAAATAAAGATTATTAGGACTTTTAATTCATTCATTCTTTCCAGATAAATCAAAAGGATACGTCCATCAGGTTGACCATGCTCCTGCATGATTCCATACTGAAGCCATCAGTCTTCAGATCTTTGTCTGAAAGAAAAGATATCTGAAACAGTCTGTTCTGCAAAGACAGTTTCACAGACACTTGTAAAACAGGGTGTAATGGTGTGCACTCTACAGTGGAATCTAATAATGTAGTGGGACATTTGTTACCAACATGTGCACTTTCCAGTAGCTATGATTTGTTGATAATAAACTCACGCCGGGTAACGACTCTGTTGAGAATGGTCCGAAGCTCGTGGACAGAAATCTCCATGTCCTGAAAAATCACAGAGGACAGGATGTAAGAGACATCTGTCTTCACCATAACAAGGCTGATACCAATGTGGATGTTTTAAGTATTAGATATTATCTAAATGACCACCAAAGATACAAATATAAATGCAAACAAAGATAAGGGAGATCTGTTCAGAACTTGCCTCTCCTGCCAGCTGTGCGAACATGGACTTAAAAGAATCATCAATGTCGTCTTCAGTTACTTCTTCCTGTAGGAAACCACAATATAAAAAAGGCATTTGTTTAATTTCAGAATCCTTGTCATTTCCTGCTATTAATAAAGTAGAGTATGCAACATCTATTTTATTCATGTCTCAGTTTTACATACTTCCTCTCCAAAATCTGCAGAGATTTCATCATCCAGTTCTCTGCAATAAAAAAAAATTACCATGATATTTACATTTCAAATACATAAGCTGGATTTAAAATGATGTAAAAGACTCTTACTCTGTTTCCGATTGCTTCTCAGTGAAGACTCTGAGGACAAAGTCCGCCTCCTGACTAGCCTCAAAGGTGGAGGGGACGATGAGGTATTCCCCTGGGGGCAGACGCAGCCGTGTGCTCACCTCTCGCAGGTTAATGAATGTCTCGGAGCGTGCACACGATGAATGAGTGAGGAAGAAATCCTTCTTCAGATGGACATTTGTGCAGCCTCTGTACTGAGGGCCACAGGGAACACACATGGGTTGAAATGCATGTGCATGTTTTTAGGTCAATTTCATTGAACTCAGAAATAGTTTACAATACTGCCAACCTTTTCAAACATCTGATTTATATTTAGTTTGACTTTGGACTACATTGAATGCAATGTACTCTCATATGAGAAGTAATTATACTAAAGAGGATTGAAAAATTGCTTGAAATAGGTGAATCATTGATGAAACTTCTCAATATTATTTGTTCTTAAATATGTGGATTGATTTATAAATGGTCTGCATGGATTCATATCTTAATCAAAGAACGTTTTTTAAAACTAAAATGTGATCAGCAGTAGTGTAAAATATACATGCAAAATAGGCGGTAGTAATAAATGCTCTGCTTACCTCTTCTGGAATCTGCAGAAAAAAAGACAAAGAAAGAAATATATAAATGACACGAACAAAATGTAACCTGACACAAAACTCAAGCATAAGAATAAACCATGAGAGAGAAAAAGTGACAAAACAGATTTGTACCTCATAAAGAGCAAAGCCAATGGTGTGCGTGTCCTGACCCTGGCGGCGGTATTTGCGGCGGTCCTTCTGCATGAGAGCAACCAAAAAGCTGCACGCCACCTCATCGTCCTCTGGGTCATCATCCTCCTCCAGCAAGGTGATCTTGTACTGAGGGTTGATCCAGAACGTGTCTACACAGATGGTGCATTTGTGTTAGCATGTTTCATTGTCCACTGTATGTCAGTGTGTAGACTTTAAAGGTCCCCTATTAAACTCTTTTTCAACAATATATTATAGGTCTCAGACATATACAAAACATGTCTCTGAAGTGTTTGGTTGAAATACCAAACAGATTGCATGCCATAAAACCCTCTGTTTCTGGGTCTGTAGCTTTAAATGCTATTGAGCTGCCACTCCTCAAACCATTCTGTGAAATGTTTGGTTTGAAAATAGTGCTCTAGGAGGAGAATCGGGTGATAAGGTGGGCGGATGTTACCTTGGTTAGTTATTGACTAATGGTTGCACAACCCAAAAACAAAAAAATTCACATCACAAAGTGTTCGAAATCTGATCAGCTAATTTTTTTTAGGTTTTTATATAGATGGGTCAGGATAAAAGGAGAGAAGATCTTTTTTCCTGAAACTTTCCGAATCTCTTAACACAGAGAGGAGGACACATATTTATGAATAAAATACATGAAAAAGTGGATTTTGCATAATAGGTGACCTTTAAATAAATTGAATTTTTTTCTCACTGGGATTGTTCCTGCAGCCTCCGGCGGTGCTGCCTCTCCTCCACGCGCCGTAAAACTTTGTGGTGTTCCAGTGGCTGAGACCGTCCTCACTCAGAGCGTCAGCAGTCAAGTTACAGATCTCTAGCCGAGAAAACTGCCTCTTGAACTCATTGAAGGACATCCTGGAAGATTACAAATAAATGCTTAGGGTCAGAACCTAAATATGACCTTTATAAAAGAACAGTTCTGAGAAATGTGCTCAATAGCTTTCTTGCCACTAATATGAGGAATTCTATCCCACTTTCTTGTCTGTAAGGTAAATACATAAAAAAGGACCTTACCTTATTAGTTACATATGTTATATATCAACTGATGAAAACTGAACCCACATGTATTTGTATTTCTTTTTTCCCCCTGTAACTCACCACAAGAAAGTGAATAAGTGTATTCCCGATAACTAGTTCTTTAAAATACATATAGTACATATAATACAATAGCAACTGACACATCTTACCAAAACTCCCCATCTTCCATCTTAAGATGCAGGTCCTCTCGTTCAGAAGGATCAATCTCATCCCATTCAGGGGAACTACACACAACAAGACAAACAGACCAGAATACACAGTCAGTAAGAGATATCACGCTCATAAAAGCACAACCAAACAAAACTGAGGATGCAAAAATGTTTAGTACACAGAGACATTGGCACACTCACTTGTCACTCCAGGCACCAGTCCACTCCACCTGTCCCCAAGGGTTACGTATCCGGATTAGGCGCTCCATGTTGCCTTTGTAATCAACCTACATAACACAGGGAGATTGCTCAATTAGAAACATTAAGTCATTTGCAGTGTTGACCAAATAAAGACCACATAGTCATGCACCGACAGACCTCCTTCAGTCCGGTGAGTGAGTAGGCATGGCCCTTCACAAGCTTCTTGAATGTAACAGCCTCCATGTCGAAGGCACTGGTGATCTGTAAATGAAAAACATCATTTCTGCATCCAAGTATGAATGGTCTGGCACAGAAATAACTAGAAGAGCTTTTAATGTTATTAGCTTCCTCAGAATGGTGCAACATTGATCTGCGTGTCTTGGTGGTGTGCCAGCGTGTGCAGCACTTACATCGATGGAGCAGCCCAGCAGAGAGCCTCTCACCAGGGCCTTAGCGATGATCCTGTGCAGATCTCTGGGGGCCTTGCACAGCTCGTACATCTCAGACACACCACCTGTGAAGTCCTCAAACCCCTCAGTGGTGCTTCCTCCAGACAGAGCCTCGTAGGATCCATTCAGCCTGATGTCATGTGGAAAAAAAACACTTTCCATCAAACACACTCATCTGAATTATTGAACAACTGGTTAGGCTCTTCTAATACATACTTTGCGTAAGCCTTCTCTAGGAGTGCACTCCAGAATTCATTGCCCTCAGCAGAATGGACGAACATCAGCTCTCCATCTTTGACAGGTAATCTGTCATCAATCACAACATCTACCCACTCGCCAAACTGCCAGAACTGCAACACAGAGTAACAATCAACAACTCCATCAATCCAAACTGCTTGCCTTACATTTGAGGATCTTAAAATACCTGAAAGTGGAATATTCCAGCGTAGTCGTCTTGAAAGGACTGTCCATGTGGGACGACCCGGTGAAGAAGCGTCTCATTCAGGGTGAGAGAAGCGATGGCTGCTAAGAGCCAGCAATCACCTGCAAATGAAAAGAAGCATTAAGCAACCTTTATATGATTGTCTTTTTTTTCATGACAGATTTAACATTAACAATAATAGCAAGAAGGGCTCACCCAGCGCTCCCTGACAGATGTCGGTCCTGGAGGCACCACCCACAATGAACTGAGGGTCATCACTCAGGTCCTATGGAGAAATTCAAAAAGTCAATTAAATCTCAGAGTTTGGATTCATAGCCTATGATTTACATATAATGAATAGTTCAGAAGTGGGGTTGAGTGAGATACTTAATAGTCAGTGCAAAACCTACAGTGGATGGCAGCCAGGTAAGCTATATTTAGAAAGATTTCACCACTGTCACACAGCCCCTTTCTCCTGGGAACTGAGTCTGTTATATCCATACCTTCAAGGCAAAATAAACTTCATTGAGAAAACTGAAATGTTATCTTGCACAACACACAATTGGCTGGTCTAAAGCAGCCTCAACCTGCGAGTATGTCGCACAATAACATACTCAATATGGAGGAGTACCTCATACAACCCCACTTCAAATAATTCAAACTATCCTTTTAAAAACGACACATGTCTTATAGCTATTTTCGCATCTACACTCTAACTTCCTGTGTTTCAATGACTGTAAACAAGTGTTGGAGCGAGGAGTGGTCAGGGAATGCCATGCCATGCCATGCCAACAGCTGCAGCGGTCTGAAAGGTTCCTGTTCATACTCGTCCTATTCTGTCAGAGTTTACAGACAAGAAATAACACTCAGTGTCATTTGATATTTCTGTTTATAATGTTTCCCTCTTGAGTTCCAGTAATCAGTGGCAAGAGACATAACCCATGCATCATGACAAAAGTAATGAGGAGCAATCAAAAGAATGATGAGAGGCATTTTCACATTTAAAATGTAAAAACAATTTATCTTGCCCTGGGGGAATTTTTAGAGCAGTACATATAAACTAAACATAATATAAGATACAGTGTGATACAGAGTGTATAAAAACGTTTTTTATCGTGTTTCCTTCTTAAAATATATATATTGCAGATCTGTCTGTATTACCTTCTTCATAGACACTAAATGATGATGAGAGATATGTCCTTATTTTACCCAAGCCTTCTGAAATCATCATTATTCAATTGTACCCTTGCTGTTTTGCCTGGCTTGCTGACTATGTATTTTATTTTCTGTTTCATTCTCTAATGCCTTGAGACTGAAGAGACAGTATATAGTATCTACATGTATATTTTTATTGAAACTATAATCTTTAATCTGTCGAGTATGGTTTGTCTGTTTTGTTTTGCTTGGAATTATTAAACAAAAGGTATTTGTCACTTGTACCCTTTACCTCAACCAATAGGAATAAAACATATCAGTTTTTTGTATTGTTAGTATCCACTCACTGTGGGCCGTATCCACTCCACATCCCTAGTTTTGGAGGAATAGGGGGCGAGCTCCTTGAAGCCCAGGGATGGAGGCTCAGCGGGGAAACAGTCGTCCTCAAACAGGCAGCCGGACTCCACACACTGCTGCTTCAGAGCCTCATAGTCCTGGTTGGAGAAGGGCACAGCGTGCTCATTGGTGCCCATGCCTTCTGCTCGCAGCCTGTTGGCCTGTATGACAGCGGACATCCCAGTTGCATACATACTGGTGGGAGATAAAAAATGGAGGCGTGTGAGTATGCACAGGCTGTCTATAAATAGCAGTAAGCTCCTCGGTGGCACACTCTTGTCCAAGTGTTACAGCACGGCACTCATGTTTAGAAAAATAGTATTTATGCTAGTGATAAGTTCAAAACAATTCTGAATCTGCCTTAAGTGAATTCATTCCAGCCTAAAAGTTAAAGAAAGCTTTATGCTTTAAGGCCATTTAGGAAACTGAGGTTCTTGGTCTTTGTTTTGTATTAAATATGTAGGTTAAGCAATCTGTGGAGGTTTTACATTCTACAATTACCAACAACATGATGGGGTTGTTTCATTATCTTTGGATTCAATATGTTTGAGGCTAATTAAATAATACATTATTCAGAAATCATAGGCTGTTGTTAAAACCTCTTAAAGTTGAGGGGCTGCCAAGTGGGATTTGTGACCTCAGTATTTCTAATGTCCTGGCAAAAGGTAAATCCTGCAAAACATAATTGTTATTTAAAATCAAAGCAAATGTGCTGCTATGAAAACTTCATTTAGCAGCCAACACATATTTAAGCCAAGCTAAAACTAATAATTAGACAACATAAATACAAACAAAAGAAAAGGGATTACTGAGGACTGTGAGAAAAGACCACCTTACACACAGCAGACCTAGAAATAACAAAGGACATATGATACCTTCGTATACCTTGTCTGTAAAGGATGGCTGAGAGAGAGAATGAGACAAAACAAGAAAGGTTATGTTGTTTAACTCTAGTTTTGGCACAGGTAGAGATAAAGTGCTTTTACTTTTCAATAACTCAGATTGCGCTGAGTTGCAGGATCCTGCGCAGCCCTAACAGACTTTAGTGTTGACCACTCAGTAGGGGTATTTTCTCCTCTCTGAATGCACCTACTTTACAATCCCAGAGAGTTTCACAACTTTCAGCCAAGTCTCACAGGACGATACAAACACTTTGTGAGAAGAGCAGGAGATAAAAAGAACCACATACATCAAGAAGATGGCTCTTAGTTGTTCATTTGCTCTCCCTTTATGAACTACTGCAAGAAACTGGGACATGAGAGGAGCTTTTATCTGGCTGTGCTCCACTGGAACAGAATCCTAATGAGCTCAGATCTGTAAACAGTGCAGGAAGAGCGGGCAACTTTGATGGAGCTAAAGTGGTGAGGGATCAGGGGATCGATGAGGAGAAAATGACTCCGTTGACTTTCAGTGATGAGTAAGAGAGGAAATAATGACGTGTTGTTGCGAAAAACAAGCTTTGCTTTCGATAGAAACAATTCTGCAGGCGAGGACCCCCAGCCTGACACTGGGGCCCCTCATGCTGTGAGAGTCTGCAGGAATGTCCCTCCTCTATCAGACAGCTAGATAGAGGACACTGCTGGCTGATGACTAAAAGGATATCTTTATATAAGCTGATCCAGACATTCCTTTGACAATGATGTCATCTATAGGACTTCAACCTCAACAATGCCCTATAATAACCATCTACAACCAGAACAATGCTGCAAATATCCTACTTTATTATGATTTCTTAGTGAATTTAGATGCCTGTTAACTATCAAACAGTATTAGCATGTCTGGCATGTATGCAGGCTCATATTGTTTTAGCACCTGTTCAATGGGCCTGTCTTTTTTATGGCCTGATGCCTGCTTCCAACATTTCTCACAACAATAATATATATTTTACCACACAAACAAACTCATTCCACACCGGATGTTACATATGAATGGCATCTGTATGCCTGAATATGACAGCTGGATTATTATTAGTGCTACAGCGTACAGTATGTTGCATCTAATAAAGCGCGGCCTAATGTCACACTGATTCCACCGGGAGGCACCGTTAACTATCAGCGGGATAATTAGCACTTGGAGTGAAAGGACATACAGAAAACGGCTCCACTCACCACCGCCGTGAAGGGAACCTGCCACTCCTTCAGAATTGCTCGGGTTGTGATAATCGTGTAAAGCTGGGGTGGGAGGCAGTGGTTGTTTGGTACTAGACAGGAGCAGTGCAGGTCCAGCCCTCTCTCTCCGCTGCACACTGCGGGTATACCGGCCTCAGGAGGAGGGGCCACCGCTCACACTCAGCCCCGCCGCCGCTAGAGGTGCTGGAGATCACATAAAACACAACTTGAATATGGCAAATCACGGCACAAGAAACAACAATACAAGTAATTCACTGAGGTTATACAGAGGAGGGAGAAATACTCAGATTGTGTTCTTGAAGTACCAGAGTGTATTAGTAATCTGTTACAAGTAAAAACCTTTGTCATTATGCACAGTAGCTATGTTGTAGTTATGGCAATTCATTATAAGTCCCAGGCTCTTCCAACAATGCAACCTAAATATGTGACATAAAACACATTTTAAAAAACTATCACAAGAAGAAACAGAGTAGAAATAAAAGATTATGTTGCCAGACAAATCTGCAAGTAAAGCAGATGAATTATATCAAGTTAACAATACGCTATAATATACATGGCATATCAAACAGCAGAAAATTCCCCTTGAATCTAATAAAGTGGGAGAATTATTTTTCAATACATTTGTTTTCAAATTAAAAATATATATTCTTAAAAATAAAGAGAGGAAGTAACTCTGAAGGAAAAGTTAATATGTGTAGCTGTAAGTATAGTTACAGCGCTTTTAATAAACCCAAGTAAAGTACACTCAGAAAAACATGTCATAGGTAAATAATTGGCTTTATAAAACACGTTTGTCTTCAGTTCACAACATCAGTGCAAAATAAAGGACACAAATAGAAAAACAAACATAAGACACACAGGTCTCCAGATACAATACCATAGAGGCGTATCGTGTATTAATAAACTGAACGGCTTTAGGGGAGAGGCTACAGTTAAGTCATTTTGTAACTTGGAGACATTAATAATCTCATCTCTGTCAACCGAAACTGAAGAAAAAAAATTCACCTGAGAGATAAGGTACAGTGAACAACTGCAGAGGTTAAAGGTCACCTGCCAGCAAATCTATCACGCTGACTGCTAAGGAGAGATACATATACCATAGCTGCAGATGATACTATCCTGGGTTTGGTTTTAATGCAGCCAGGAGTTTGTGTCACTCTATACCATATTCAGACATTGATAGAATTTAAAATATGAGATTTGTTCAAAGGTTGAATTGAGTATGTCTTGAAGTCTTCAAATGCTCCGACTTGACAAATCCAGTTAATATGTTGATTAAATCAGATGGAAGAGATATTTCTAAAGTCATGATGTTTGCATATTATTGCAAGACTATAAATACAAAATGTGGCACACTAGAAACAAATATATTAGCATAGTCTTATCCTGATGCTCATGAGGACACTTCCTGGTTAGTGTAGGACTAAAGTGGTATGTTTCTAACACCAGCCCGGCAGAGTAAATTATACCATTACATAAAACACCTCCAAACAAAATTCTCTTTATCAAATTTTTAATTTCCTCCTGGTTTAAAGTGGGCAGAGATTCAGTTGGATAAACAGGGCAGATGCAGATCAGCTGATATTTTAATGTTAAACTATGTTAAATTAGCTTTGTAACATAGGAGCATTGCTTAGAGCCAGACACTTCCCTAAGTAACTGGGCCAATAGCATAACAGGGCTATTGGACTTGACAAAAAGTGAACAAATATAAATTCTTATGTTGCTCTGCATCTGCATGTTTGATGTGTCAATAGGCGATGGCTGCCAACCACACAGTACACAATGCCTACAAGTTTGCACTATCAACCAGACTCAGAGACAGTTTCATCCCACAGGCAATACGACTGTTAAACACCTGAACTGTTGAAACAACATCCACAATATTCTGCTACTTAAAAATTACTTATCTATTTACCTAATATATCATATTTCAATGACTTGCAGACTCTTATTGCACTATTTCACTATTTCACTTTTTTAAACTATTTTCTTCTTGTATTTACAATTTACTATTTGCTTGCACTATATGCTTTCATGAGTATTAGATGTCTTAATACAGATCAATCATTGACTGTCAGTGGCTGGGTTAGGGAGACAGAAGACTGTCTTATGATAAAAGACTGCATCAAAAGATCAATAGCCAAAATCAACAAGAATACAGGTTGTCTCTGCTGGACCTGCAATTTCATACAAGTTAGTTGAGTATGTACTAATAGGAATAATGTTTTATTTCCGTTTTGTGTGTCTAAAAAACAGAGGAGGGGTATGGTTGTTATTGGCACTCATTTGTCATGTCGATGTCACAAACAAAACTGTGTACACAAAACATTCAGTGGTTTATGACCCTCCCTTCTTCCAGCTTCCAACTATAGTCAAGCCTGGTTATGCTGTGGAGGCAGTGTGGACTGGTTAAACTCAACATTGTTATTTAAGAGGACACTCCTGTAAGTCCACTGGGTTGGGAAGGTTTGAAACTTGGTAATATTTTTATAGTAGCATCCATCTCTGGAATCAAGAAAAGTCTAAATAAGATTGTAGAGATGCAGTAACACAATACAAATGTAGTAAATCATCGTTGCCTCTGCATTGGTTCAGAAAAATCAGCCAATGGTCTGCCGTTTAGTACGTCTTTTATAATGATTGTATTGCATTTTATTCATTGTCTTCTCTGTTTTCCATTCTGAGATTCTTTAAACAAGGGTGGAGACTCTCCCATTCACTACCTCTGATACACATCCTTATTATGCAGGACTTCTGAGGCTCACACATGAATCATCTTTTTATAAAACAAACAGTGGTGTATTCAACAGCCAAAATGGTTCCGGACTAAAGGATCTGATCCCTGACTGTGTACAGTTGACTTATAATTAGCTTGATAAGAGCATACGGTGCAGTACATGCTCCAAAGCAGACACCCGTAAGGCTCAGTGTTGCAATGTTATTTACATCCCTTTACATTCCCATTCTTGCTCAACTGAACTCTTGCTTAATTTGATGCATTTAAGCTTCCTTTTCACAACTCTCAGCTGCATATACTTCTTTTACTCCCTTCCTATATCTATTGGAATACATATATCAACCTTGTTCTTTAGTGAGCACTTGTGTTTTTTCATAATGTCCCATAAATACACATTTTAATTAGTGTTTTTGGTATTTATACTATTAACCCATCAGGAAGTGGGAAACAATAAATTCAATAATAAGAGTGGTGCTTCGGTGCCTTTAGGCGTGTCTCTGTTTGTATTTAAGCTGTGGCCAATGCCATCTTGTTGCATATTTGCTTATGGTGGCTGCTGTCTGTTTTGTTCCTCTCACCTGTCCATTAGAGGCCCCTCCCTGTCTGTGGTGACCTGAATCCTGTCCTCACCTGCGGCAGCTATAAAGGAGGCTGGAAGAAAGAAAGCAACGTTAACTCATATCATAAAGAAGAACATCGCCATCCGAGGAGTACACTGAAGAGGTGAGGATGACTTCCACTGCAGATCGTCTGGCCCATCAGAAGAAGAGGGAGGAAGGCATTGGCACCAACCAGAAAGCAGTGAAGTTCTCCCAGCAGGACTATGAGACTCTGCGGCAGCAGTGTCTGGAGCGTGGAGGCCTGTTTGAGGACAACTGTTTTCCTGCTGAGAGCAAATCACTGGGCTTCAATGAGCTGGGACCATACTCAGCCAAGACCAGGGGCGTAGTTTGGAAGAGGCCAATGGTAAGAAGAAACAGCATTATTACATTACAGCCATGAAAACAGACAAAAGTGACAATGTTTGTACTGTAATATGATCATAGGGTTGTTGAGTTACACACTGGGAGCAAGTAATGTACTCTCTTCTGTTGAGCATCTTAATATTATATTTAAAAACAGTAGCTAATTGGTTAGTACATTATGAATAAAATGTTTACAATTATGCTTCAAATACTATAAAATGATGTAGAAAAAAATGCTGAATACCCCATTCACCATATTCATTGTGTGTATGATCATAGTTTTACTATTTGTGTTTGCTTATCTTATGTGTCATCAGATCTAAATCATGTAATTGAAATGTCCTCCTTCTATCTATGTACTCTCAAAACTGCTCTCAAGTTTTCAACTCAGTGTGATTGTTTGGTAAACTTTTCAGGAGCTGTGCTCAAATCCAAAGTTCATTGATGATGGAGCCACAAGGACGGACATTTGCCAAGGAGCTCTGGGTAAGTGAACAGAGAGGACGGGTCAATGATTGCATGTACAGATGGATGCATGAATGCTTTTTATAAAGGGAACCACAAACATCCAACCCCTCCACCCACTCTGCCATTAGGCCTGTGAAATGGAATTATCTCAGAGGTGGTTTGTTGCCACATAATGTTTTTCTGCACTGCGGTGTACACAACTTATTTCACAATCTCAGAGCATGCCTCTGCTCTGACTGTGTGTAGGTGACTGCTGGCTTCTGGCTGCAATAGCCTCTCTGACTCTGGACCAGCGGATCCTGGCTCGTGTGGTGCCCCATGGACAGAACTTCACTGAAAGATATGCCGGGATATTTCACTTCCAGGTCAGACAAAGGCCTAAGCTTGACCTTCGAGAGGGATTTTTTGTTTATTTTCTCTTTTTGTCTTTGCCTTTTTTCCTGTCATGTCCAGCCATAAAAGTATGATTGTAGAGAAACATTCAAACTGGTACAGTCGAAAGGTTCCAGTTAGTCAATCAACAATTTGCACTGTAACTCTTGAATCTTAATCACTACTTTCCTCATATGAAGCTTGATAATTGTCAATTTCAATCATGGCACAAAGATGTTATCATTGTTCTCCTACAATGCTGATCAACACTTCATTATATGTGGAAAAATGCATAATTTGCCTGCCTACACATCCTCAAAAGTCAATTTAGAAGCTGACATCCTTTGAATAAGAGATGACACAACAAATAGTGTTTCATGTCAAAAGCTTCACATTAATAGGTAATAACAATAACATTATGAACGTATTTGACCTTGAGTTTAATATTTTTTTCTTCTCAGTTCTGGCAGTTTGGTGAGTGGGTGGATGTGGTGGTCGATGACCGTTTACCCACCAGAGAAGGAAAGCTGCTGTTTGTTCACTCAGCGGAGGGATCCGAGTTTTGGAGCGCACTGCTAGAGAAAGCCTATGCTAAGTATGGATCGTTCCAGTTCCAGTATATATTTTTCCGTATCAAAACCTGAATATGGTAAAAAATTGACATCATACAGATGATGATTCTGTTCTCGTCCCTATGTGTCTGACAGGGTGCATGGCTGCTATGAAGCCCTGTCTGGAGGAAACACTATCGAGGGTTTTGAGGATTTCACAGGAGGGATTGCTGAAGTTTACACCTTAAACAAAGCTCCACCGAAGCTCTTCCAAATCATAAAGAAAGCTCTGGGGCTGGGCTCACTGCTGGGTTGCTCCATTGATGTAGGTCTTATTTTCATATTGATTTGCATGCTAACCTGTGAGAGAACAAACCAACAGCAGTCAGTACAAAGGTATCCAAGATTGAAGTTTATTTTTTCTGTGTTTTCAGATCACCAATGCCTATGAGACAGAGGCGGTTACAGCTCTTAAACTTGTCAAGGGGCATGCATACTCACTGACTGGTGCGGAGGAGGTATGCAATCCGATGTCAACAATTATATGTTGTTGTTTTTTCTAATGCATGTGAAAAACATCACTCACTGTTGCTCTCTCTTCCAGGTTAATTACCTAGGCAAGCAGGTTGAGCTGGTCCGCATCAGGAACCCATGGGGTCAGGTGGAGTGGACAGGGTCTTGGAGTGATGGGTAAATCCTTTTGTTCCAAATCCTTCAACCATTATCTTCCATTTTTGGGGGGGATTTTCCTAAAAGCAATATATTATTTTCATAAATCAGATCCAGCGAATGGAACCACGTCAGTAAAGAGGAGAAGTCAAAGTTGAACAATAAGGCTGAGGATGGAGAGTTCTGGTAAATCTGTTTATCTTGTATTTACTTACTTACTTCTTGTAATGCAGCAGCAAACATAAATTACAATAAATGCATTATTTTAGATATTGTGTTGATGCTATAATATGGTTTGATAAATCAGCAAAGCAAATGGTATATGGCGTGTGTAGGATTTAGTGGCATCTAGTGGTGAGTTTGCAGATTGTAACTGACTGAATATTGAATATGCATGTCGAAATACTGGCCTTCTTTAATGTAATCGTTTCTGCTGTTGACTTATAAAAAAATGGCTGTTCAACATAGGGGACTCTTTTTGTGGAATAAGCTAAAGAAAACACAACCATGTTTTGTTTGGGGTGGTAATACACTATATTTCAATAGGTTCTTCTAATCCTAGGTCCTGTGAGGCTCAGGTTAATGCTAAAAGTGATGAAGAAATGTGTTCCTCTCCTCAGGATGTCCTATTCAGACTTCATCAGGCAGTTCTCCACGCTGGAGATCTGTAACTTGACCCCAGACACGATCATGAGTGACGATGTGGGCCACTGGAACCACTACCAGTTTGAAGGGATGTGGAGGGCGGGCTCCACTGCTGGCGGCTGCCGCAATAACCAAGGTAGCAGAGAAACCATGTGTGTGTCTGTGCAAGAAGTTACACTCTCTGTAAGGGAAACTTCTGTGTAGCTATGCAGTGGGAGTCACCGACTCAGGAAGGAGACAAGGTAGTAGCAGTAGCTTTGATGTCAAAACACTGATGATTTATTGGAGTTTCGGCCGGAGCATTCACATCACAAATCACAGCAGTCCCGGTGAGACTGCACGGGTGGGTTGCCACGTCAATTCTAAATAACTCTACCTCAGACCCATGTATTTAACTAGTTCTGAGAACATCATCAAACTGCTGCATAACAAGATAAAATCATAACACCTCTATCAGCTGACGCCAACAGGCAGGAACAGGGAGACAGAACACTGAGAGCACAGCAGCCAAGGTTACGAGGTGCGTGTGCTCAGTCAGGACAGTTTGAACTGATAAACTGGGTCAAAGTTATGGGCCTTGGAAAATATTTCCACAACACTCTCTCTAGGTCGTCCTCAGACGAGCCCTCCATCGTTGCTTCCAGTCATCTCGGTTCTCCATACATCTGGCCAGTTCATTGGTACTTTGTGCTCCTACGTCATTCTTACACTGCTTCATATAAATAATTACACGTTGTGTGTTCCAGCCACATTCTCGTCCAACCCACAGTATGTGGTGCTTCTGGAGGATGTGGATGACGACCCCCTGGATGGGGAGGATGGCTGCACCTTCCTGGTTGGGTTGATGCAAAAGGACGGACGACAGAAAAAGAAGCTTAACCGCAACCTTGAAACCATTGGCTATGCCATTTATAAGGTGTCCTATAATAACATGCTTAATATGAAGCTCTCTGTATTTAATCCATTTTAAAATGTTTGACGGTCTTCTAAATAACTTCTTCTGTCTGTTTCCTTTTTACAGGTCCCAGATGAGGTCTGTATTTATACTGTTACATGCAAGTAATCAGAGGTGGGAAGTACATTTACTCAAGTACTGTACTGAAGTACAATTTTGTAAATGGTGTACTTTTACTCCACTACATTTATTGTATGCGTTTAGTTACTTTACAGGTTTTGATTAATGATGTGAAATATCAACACTTGAATAAGACTTTGTTTAAACCTGGAGTAAATTCCCAAACTACCCTACAAAGTAATTACTATTAGCTGCACCTTTACCAACTTTGATAGCACTTTAATGCATCAATAATTATAATCAAACATATAATATATATAAACATATTATTCTGAAATGGACCAGTAAGTACATTTACTTTTGATACTTTAAGTATATTTTGATGCTATTACTTTTGTACTTTTATTTGAGTAACCTTTTGAATGCATTACTATAACTTGTAACAGAATATTCCTACACTCTGGTACCTCTTTTTTCTCATGTACAAGATCTGAGTACTTCTCCCACCTCTGCAAGCAATGATCATTTGAATGCAACTTGAGTTTGGGTAGGTGTTTGACCTATCAGTAATAGAAAAGCCCCTTTTCCTGTTGATGTTCAGCTCAAAGGCCGCAGCAATGTTCACCTGGGTCCAGATGTCCTGCTGCGACAGAGAGCAGTGGCCATGAGCAGCACCTTCATCAACACACGGGAGGTGTGTGACCGCTTCAAACTTCCTCCAGGAGAATATGCCATAGTTCCCTCGACCTTCCAGCCTCACAAGAATGGCAGCTTTGTTCTCAGGGTCTTCTCAGAGAAACAGGCTGCAACCAGGTATCAGTGCTACAGCAACATATACACACTGAGGGACAGCTGCAGGAGAATGTAAAGTTCAGAGCTTTAGCTTATACAGCCATCTAGTGGCTCATACGCCAACTTTTTAACTTAGAGCACAGTCAATGTTATTTTCCTGCACACCAACAGTGTGCTCAAGCTGTGCATTTTTATATGTTTCAGTCCACTGGAGGAGGACATTGATGCTGAAATCGAGGAGGTATGTACATACACAGAGTGATTTTGCATCGATTATGAAGTGTGGGCGGTGGTGGCAAAGTCTGGAAGGTCACCAGTTCAAGTCCCAGAAAGACCAAGTGCTACCGAGTTCCCTGAGCAAGGCACCGTTCCCTACACTACACTGCACCATACATAATGGCAGCCCACTGCTCCTAATCCCATCCTAACACTAGGATGGCAGCAGTGGCTCAGTCTGTGTAGGTACTTGAAGGATCGCCCGTTCACATCCCAATCGGACCAAAAAAACACAAGTAGACTGGTAGCTGCCGAGGTGCCCCTTGAGCAAGGCACCGACTGGCTGCCTCTCCAAAAAAATGCATGTGTTCACCTTTGTGTATTTGTACTGTGTCTTGTATAACAAAAAACATAGTACTGCGATTGTGTGTTGAATTCAACACCCATGAATATTTAAAAAAATCCAAGAATTGTCAAAGCTTGTATTTGACATGAGTGACCTCTCTTTGTTTTGCTCTCACAGGAGGAGATATCTGAGGATGATGTGGATCCTCATTTTAGAGAGGTCTTCAAGCAGATTGCTGGCGATGTACGTAGAGCAGCATGATACAAATGTACTATATCCCTAAAAAACATTCTAATATACAATTTTCCAACAGGATATGGAGGTATCTGTCTTTGAACTGGTTAAAATGTTGAACAACATTGTCTCTCACCGTGAGTATACCTCTTACATATATACAGTAGTTTACCTCAAATATGTAATGTATATACTATATATACTGATATACTGTCTGCACGTAGCCTTTTCATTTTCTTTGAGTTCCAAATTGGGGCTAGTTATGTTTGTAACTTTCCTGCAGGGTCTGACATCAAGACAGATGGCTTCAGCCTTGAGACAGGTCGCCTTATCGTCAGTCTGCTGGATGTATCCTCTTTAAGAAATGATCCCTCAACTTTATATTTATTTCTATTTGGGTGCATTATTATTGGACAAATAAGATATATGAATGAAGGAATTAAATTAATAATCCATGAGGATCTTTTTATAGACCTAAACACTCCTCAGAAAGATGAAAGTGCCAAGCTGGGACTGATGGAATTCCACTTGCTTTGGGGAAAAATCCAAAAATACCTGGTAAATTGGGAATTATGTGATTTGAAATATGTATGGCCATGTAGGAATATCTATCTGTATCTATTAACACAACACATTGTCTGGGTCAAACAGGAGATCTTCAAGAATCATGACACAGACAATTCGGGCACCATGAGCTGCCACGAGATGAGAGGCGCTGCCACTCAAGCAGGTAACAAACATTATCTTGTGAAAAAAAAAAAAAAAAAAAAAAAAATCTCATACACTACTGTTATGTCAGCTAGTTATGTATGTGTTTTATACAACAAATCAATTTATTATTATTTATTATGACCTTAAAGCTTCTCATATGCTTTAAAAGTTAAAACATCTGCAAGTGTGCATTGAATGGCTTGAATTCACGAATGGTATTTGTTTTCCTGATGAGAATCAATCACAAATGTAGATGTTGCCCGCATAATTTAGTTATCTTTGAATAGAGTTGACATTTTACCAACTTATGGTGTGTGTGTGTGTGTGTGTGTGTGTGTGTGTGTGTGTGTGTGTGTGTGTGTGTGTGTGTGTGTGTGTGTGTGTGTGTGTGTGTGTGTGTGTGTGTGTGTGTGTGTGTGTGTGTGTGTGTGTGTGTGTGTGTGTGTGTGTGTGTGTGTGTGTGTGTGTGGGCAGTTACTGGCAGACTAGATAAACCAGTTGGGGGACTTCCTCCCTGCAACAGATTTTGTTCATGTATATTTTACCGCAGGGGCAAAACAAGCATGGGCGAGGCTGTAACTGTACTCTTCCATTATCACCCTGCTAATACCTGACACCTTTCAATAACTATATTTCCCAAGGATCAGAAATAATGCATCTCTATGAAACTGACCCTTGCTAACAGGAAATGATGGTGATAACTGACGGCTATCTTTCTTTTCCAGGTTTCCACATCAACAGTGCTGTGCTGCAGTCCATTGTCAGTCGTTACGCGGATGCTCAGTATGCCATAGACTTTGACAGCTTTGTAGGCTGTCTCATTAAACTGGAAATGCTCTTCAGTAAGTGTCAGCAAACCCAACAATCTGATATGATCTGTTTCATGTTTACAATATCAACATTTCCGTCTCTCCACCAGAAATGTTTAAGTCTCTGGAGAGAGCTGACGCAGGAAATATCGAGCTGGACATGCAACAGGTGTGTGAGAGAATAACAAAAGCTGCGGTTTTTTCGGTACTTCTAGTTTGGCTGGTTTCTATCATTTTGTTCCCTCCTACAGTGGCTGTGCCTGGCGATCTACTAAAAAACTGAAGAGGAGGCCAGGGATGACACTTTTGAGATATACGCTGAAAGAAAAATGAATTCATTTCATTCAAAGATACTCTTTCCAATAATAAAAACCCATGGACTTTCCCAATATGTTCCAAATGCATGCATATTGCTAAAATGGATTTGTCAAATTAAATGATATTTGCTGATTACAAACATGGAGATATATGTATGTAGTATCCCTCACACACAATATACCCTTTTTTAATCCGTTTTTGTGGTGTTTTTGCTCTTTTAACTTTTGCAAAACTTGATAGAAAATCAAGAAAGAAAAAAACAAAGACAAGTTTTCCTCTCCGTCTAATCCAATTCGATTCACAGGTAAGCTTGACTCGGACAAAATAAGTCTCAGGAAAGTTTGTTTGACTCTTTACTTAAAACAAAAGGTATCAAAATACAAACACATATTTTCATAGTTCAAAAAACTTTGTTGTTCTGTGCTTCTTTCTCCTTCTCACACACAATCACCAGCAGCTGCCGTCATCTATAACGTCTCGTAATCACAAAACAGCGGTCGTCTATGCCATCAATTCCACACGGCTGGTTCAAATAAATGATATAATAACACTATCAACAAAGGATTATAATATATCAAACTATACATTTTAACATATGGCTCGGCTCCTACATCTGGACTATCTGTGTTTGTTTTATATAATAATGTAGACTACAGACCAGACAGATCAAATGGTTTAAATAGTTTGAGATATTAGATTACATATTCATATTGCTTGCGGCTTTGACTTGTTTTTGTTAATTTATCTTTGTCAGATATTTTAAGGACAAAAACAATAACGCTGGTGTTAAATTATGACCAATGAGATAAGAGACATTAAATAAATCCATCCATGTGGGCCGCACCTGGGTCAAATATGCCATCAACCAATGCCAGATATGGAGTAGGCTGAATGCTACAGGTGAGCCAGAGTTAGTGTGTTGTCTGTCATGAATAATAAAGGGTGTGGAGACATTTGAGCTGTACATTTTACACAAAGCCTGTCTATCCACACACACAGACCCGCTGGGAGACAGTCGTAGATAGTCAGAGATTTTTAGTAAAATAAAATGTCTGGCATTGCATCTAAACTTCAGCACAACCGAGAGAAATCCCAAGGGATAGGAGCCAATTCTAAAGCGGTTAAATACCTGAACCAGGACTTTGAATCGCTGAGGAACAGCTGTCTGGAGAGAGGGCAGCTTTTTCAGGATGACTGCTTTGAGCCTCTGCCATCATCCTTAGGCTTCAAAGATCTGGGACCAAATTCCTACAAAGTTCAGGGCATCCAGTGGAAAAGACCAAGGGTGGGTACAAACAGAAGGAAATCATTTAAATTATTGAATTATATTTTAAAACTGGATTTTGAAGATGATACCTGTCCCTTGTGCATCATTTACAGTACAGTGCATTTCAGTGTATCTAATGAATTTAGTTTGTCAGAAGTGCTATTTGTAATACTTTGGTCATGTACACTTTAACATACTAAATGTCAGTGTAAATGCTACACATAGGCATAAAGTGTCTTGTTTTGCCCAGTGTATTTGTATACAAAGTAAAGCCTTAAAACAAATATATAAAAGCAAAAATAAAAGCAGTAACACCATTATAAAATAAAAAGCACTAATTAAACTTGTTTTTCCTTCAGGAGTTGTGCTCCAAACCACAATTCATAATTGAAAATGCTTCCAGGACTGATATTTGTCAAGGAGCACTTGGTAAGACACACAAACACTCCTTTTGAAACTACCAAACACTCCTTTCCTTTTGTAATTTTCTTATTGAATTCACATTCAAATTCATTTTGATGTCACAATGAGATATTTACTGTATTTTACAAAGAACACATTGATTTCCATCTTAAGCTATTTGAATGAAGGAATTTGCATTTCTTATCTAAGATAGCAGTTAGCAGATGTGAACGAGGTGACTGACTTACAGTATGTATGTCCATTATTATCATTTACTTAGTTTCATCTTTGGAAACTTTAGCCAGTATTGTGTTTTCTAACACCACTTGAAGAAGATCTAAACCTCATAACTGAAAAAATGCCTGAGCCCTGACATCAGCTGTCACTCCTTAACTCTTGTCTCTCCACGCCCATTTGGCAGAAAGCATCTCCATGTGTTGTGAGATTGAGATGTTTACAGCTAACAAGCAAAGGAAGAAAAGATAATAGCCATTACTTAGCTCACAAAAGGTCTGTGTATGCATACAGTATGTTCTGGAGATCATGATGAAATGCCCGTTATTCTAACACTGTTAAATTGTGTTCAGGTGACTGCTGGCTCTTGGCAGCTATTGCCTCCCTGACTCTCAGCAAACAGGTTTTGTCTCGTGTTGTCCCCCACGATCAAAGCTTTGAGAAGAACTACGCTGGCATTTTTCACTTTGAGGTACAGCAATTCAACACCACAACCTTATTCTTATAGAAATAAAGTGAGGTTTGATTTGTACTAGTTGTGTCTCTTCCCTGTGGCTCTCAGTTCTGGCAGTTTGGTGAGTGGGTGGATGTGGTGGTTGATGACCGCTTGCCCACCAAAGATGGAGAGCTGCTGTTTGTTCACTCAGAGAAGAATTCAGAGTTTTGGAGCGCGCTGCTGGAGAAGGCCTACGCCAAGTATGAAAGAATGAAGCATCAGGATATTGTGTATGTTTCAGTATCTCGTTTAGTCGCGTCATTCATGAACTTCTTATTTCTCTAGGATTAATGGATGCTACGAGGCTCTTTCTGGAGGCAGCACCATTGAGGGTTTCGAGGACTTCACTGGAGGCATTGCTGAGAGGCATGAACTGGGGAAGGCAGGCCCCCGACTCTTCAAAACCATTAAGAAGGCCTTGGATAGAGGATCGCTTCTGGGATGCTCCATTGATGTTGGTTTGAGATTCACGTTTCACTCTCAGAGATTGGAGTCCTGGATATATATGATGGTGTTTATCTTTAAAACGTTTCCTCTTTATCCCAGATTACCAACGCATCGGACTCAGAAGCCGTCACATATCGCAAGCTGGTGAAGGGCCATGCCTACTCGGTGACAGGAGCGGAGCTGGTGAGGGAATACCTGTGTTTTTATTAGAGCCGCAACGATTGGTCGATTCGTACATGCTTTTTTTTTTTTTAATAAACCTTAATTTTTCAAACCTCAAAATATGGAGATTTGAAATATATTATACATAAAGATATCCAGGTATAAAATGAAGCTGCAGTGGCTACCATGTGTTCTCTAAAATGTAATAGATGTTACAATTAGGTAACTGAGGCATGATCTCTTTTGTAATATTTATATTGCTGCTCTACTGTAGTGTTTCCCTTTTGATTTTCTGGTTGAGAGTTATTGACCCTTAATTCTGTTTCAGGTGGAGTGTAGAGGAGACCGAGTGCAGTTGATCAGGATTAGAAACCCATGGGGTCAGGTGGAGTGGAATGGAGCCTGGAGTGACAAGTGAGAATGAATATGGTCACATGTGCATGTTACCGTAGTAACAGTGAGCATGTTATCATAAACTCACATTTGTATTACATTTTCCTGGTTTGGTTTAGATTCTGACAGGTGAAATTGTTAACTGATCAACATGTATCATTTAAACTGCTCCCATTTTCTTCTTATAAATAGGATTTCCCAATAATGCCTTTTGTTTTGTTCATAAGAGGACCCCGCCTAATTGAAACATCTACATACCTGCCAACCCTACCGATTTCGGCAGTAGTCTACCGCTTTTGACATGTTTCTACCGCCTACCGACTCAGCTGGCTTTCCCTACCGATTTTCAATCTTCCCAAACTATAACAAATAAAAATGACTCTACAGAGACACTGGACTCGACTTTTGGCGGACACCGTTTGTAACGTGTCTGTATGATGCGATCAAACAGTCCTGTGTTTATGAAAGAGAAACAACGTGCAGACCGGGGTTGCATTCCAATAGTCCATTTAGCTTAGGAACCTTCGGATTCTCTAAAGTACCGGGTTGCGTTCCGATTATCCAAAAATCAGGGTTGCATTCCAATAGTCCATTTAGCTTAGGAACCTTCCTAACGGAGTGAAATGACCCGGAAGTACGTCACTGGCAGCCATGATAAGTGCCGTTCCAATTCTCCAAATGAAAGGAAAGGAGGTTTCAAACTTCCTTTATAACCTCCTTTAGCTTAGGAACCACTGGACCTCCCTAACCGAAAGGAGAGGAGAAAATGCTGCCCCACAATGCATTGCAGCCGCAGCATTTGCCATCACAACAGTCGGCCGTTCACGGAAACAACCGATTATGACCGAGAAATTATATCATGAAAGTTACGGTGCTTATTAAGCATTTTAAAACGTATGTGGTAAGTTGCCAAAGTGCTTTGTTTTGAACGTTCATCAGTATTATAATCAAAAAGAGAAATATGAACGTTAGTTTTTTACTGAAATGATCAAATAAAGTAAAAATGTCACAGTGTTTACTGAGCTGTGTGGAGTTTGTTAAACTTTTAAAAGATGTTTGAATGGTGATATACACAGTGATAGATGTTAAGGACTAACGTTTATAATAAATACATTTATGATTTTAAGATATTTTCATACAATCATACGTATTGGGATCATTTGTATTAATGTGGACCGGAGGGAGAGGGTGACGAGCATAAGTTTCACTTTCCTTTTTTATTTCAATTCCAACTTTGGTCATGAAGAATATGTTTCTCTGTTGTCCACGTTCATAAAGCATAAAACAACAGCATCAGAGCACGGTGCAGAGTCTCTAGATGAGTTTACAGTAGTCCCTCCTTCTTATTAAACATCCATGTTGTAGTCCGCTATAGAAAACTGTAGTTTCCATAGTTCCCCCACAGCAGCAGACGCACATTCATGACGTCCGCTGGCGCATGATAAACACGTCGGATAGTGAAAGTGCATTCGGATTCTCTAAAGTACCGCGGTCTCTTCTCCTAAGTCCTTTTGAATTCTCCTATCCACTATCCCTTAACCCCGTGACGTTTCACTCAGAGGTCAAGGAATAGGAGATAGGGTTAGAATTTAGGAGCTGATTTTTGGATTATCGGAACGCAACCCAGCTCCTATGTTCCAACCCTATCTCCTATTCCTTGACAAAAGGACTTAGGAGAAGAGACTGCGGTACTTTAGAGAATCCGAATGCACTTTCACTATTCTTTCACGCACACATA